GAAAATTCAGAAAAATCAAAGAAGAAAAAGTATGATCCTAATGTAGTAGGACTGGAAGAGCCAACGGATGATGAAGAAGGCACAACATCCGAAGAAGAAGAAGGTGTTTCAGAAGTTATGTCAAATGGAGTGACCATAAATGAAGATGTTATTGATGTAGAAGCAAAAAAAGAAATTAATGAAAATGCACTGAATAAAAATTTAGAAAAAGAAAGTCCTAATGATTCAATAAACATAAAAGTAAATAGAGAAGTGAAGCCCCAAATGGAAACAAGAAAAGAAGTAAAAAAACCATTACTTAATCATTCTGCAGTTCATGTGGATGTGAAAAGGGATCCAAAGATCCAAGTGGCTAGGTTGAAACTGCCAATTCTGGCAGAGGAACAAAGGATCATGGAATTGGTGAATGAGAATGAGTTTTTAATAGTTGCTGGTGAAACTGGTAATAAATTAACTTTGCTACTTTATATTTGTCAAATGATAGTTAAAACTTTGATTTTACAATGCTCTTAATCTTAAATTTTTATAATAAAGTATTGATTTGATATAATCAAATGTATAACAGTCAAGTAATTCTCTATGTCACAAGGACCATCTCTCTACTAAGAATATTGAGTGCATATCAATTATAGGGCACCAATGGGTACTATCTGTTTTCATATGTAAACTCTATATAGCATCACTCGATGTAACATATCAAAATCTTTAAAATGACTTAATTTACTTGTATTTGGTTGGTTTTCTTGTGTATATATATATATATATATATATATATATATATATATATATATATATATATATATAGCACATATATAGCACATAAATATTGATGTTTACAGAATGTAATTTTTAAAAGTTATCCTTTATATGTGTGTTCATGTATCCTTTATATGTATGTCGCGATGTTAACGACACGCTGTATACACACGACAATAAACTCTATAGATTCACACTCACCCTATGGTAAACATAATACCAACAACAGTATGGCAATCTTACGTATTAAGCAGTACTTGCTAAATTGCTAAAACTAGTAAGATCTAAAGCTGTGTAAGTTGTATCTACAACTATAATATCCCAAGATATGAGCAAAATACATAAGAAAATTGAATTTAAATACTGAAGCAGCAAAAACATCAGACATACATTATATACTATACGTAATAAGCATTGTTATATGTATTAGTATTAATTTTTGTCGTTTGTAAAATTTGAACTATTCTTTTTCTCTTCATTTAACAACAGCTTTCTGTAATATCAAGAAATGCACTGTGCATTTCTTATCCCTTAAGTGTTGTTATATAGGTTTCGAACTGTATTTGAAATAATTTTTTTATTACATTTAGATTCACTTGGCTTTTGCTCACTGCTATGTATGTGAATTATATATAAATCAATATGTTGTTTTCAATTTAAGGCAGCGGAAAGACCACACAAATACCACAGTTCCTTTATGAAGCAGGCTATGCTGAACATAAAATGATTGGAGTGACTGAGCCTAGGCGTGTTGCCACTGTAGCTATGTCTGCTAGGGTGGCTCTTGAGTTAGGTTTAACCAGCAAGGAGGTTTCATATTTAATGCGTTTTGAGGGTAATGTAACAAAGGATACTAAGATAAAGTTTATGACTGACGGTAAGTAAAATTTTCATGAATATAGTTATCGAGCAATTCCTTATATAAATTATTTTAAATTAATTTAGATAATTCAAATAATTTTTGTGAACATCTATTGTTATGACCTACTGAATGAGTCTAAGTATTGTAAAAAATTAAATATTAAAATAAAATATTGAGAATAATATTGAAAATTATTTGATTTTCTATCGACACGAAAAGAAGAATTTATTGCACATTTTATTAATTGGACAAAAAAATTACCAGTTGTTTGAAAATAATGGGTGGAAACGATTGGGAGAAAGCAGTAATAGGACTTACATAAATGTTACATCTTATCCTTTAAACGAGCAATTCTTGTATATATATATAACCAGAATCTCAGAAACGGCTCCAGCGATTTTCATGAAATTTAGTATGTGTGTAGATTCGTGGGCGTTAAACTTGATAAACTGACCTGGAACAAGGGTGTACTTTTACTTTGTTCGCGGTTGTACATTTAGTTGTAATCTGCTCAATGCATTCGAAAATTAATTGGTGAATTTTTAATTGCAGGTGTCTTACTGAAGGAGATACAGACAGACTTTTTGCTCAGCAAATATTCCGTGGTGATAATCGATGAAGCGCATGAAAGGAGCGTGTACACTGACATCCTGTTGGGCCTATTGTCTCGTATTGTGCCGTTGAGACGAAAGCGCGGCAATCCATTGAGGCTTATTATTATGTCTGCTACCTTGCGAGTTGAGGATTTTACAGAGAACACGCGGTTGTTCAAAGAACCGCCACCGTTAATCAAGGTATGCCTATCTCAATTTTCAATACAGTCACTATCAAATCATAAAATAATTATGATATTTTGATGTCATAATTTTGACGACCCGAATGGCGTAGTGGGTAGTGTACCTGCCTCCTGCGCCAGAGGGTGTGGGTTCGATCCCACTACTGGAATAATATTGTGTGATGAACATAGTGTTTTTCTAGTGTCTAATATTTTCTAGTGTATAATATGTATTTATTTAAAAAAAAGTATGTTTATCAGTTTACTAGTACCCATAGTACAAGCTTTGCACAGTTTGGGACTAGAGAATGTTGTGTAAAAATGTGTCCTAAAATATTTATTTATTTTTTATTTATAAAATAAACTAATTTATTTCCAAAAGAAAGGTATGTTTAAGTAGTTATAATATATTGATTTTCATTTTGTAATATAATATAAAAATCAAGATTATTAATTGCATTAGCAGTGCCACCCTAGAGATCCTCTCGTTGTTTTCCGTCATGGCTGAGGGCTTTGACTCCCTTTTTTTTAATATGCAATTGCTTTAGGATAACACGCGGACAAACACGCAGATGCGAAACAACTATCTGTGGGTCACAAAAATAGTAGGCCCACGTGGGAATCGAACCCACCACCCCCAACGCCGAAGCTAATACCTTGACAACTGTGCTTTGCGGAGTCATCAAATTATCATAATGACTTTCTTGCGACTCTGTTACGAAACAATATGCGATTATGGCCTGTTTGGCCTCATTAAGCCTTACTTAATATTTAGTACCTGGAGGACCGAGCTTTGCTTGGTTTGTTTTTTTTTTTTTTGGTAAATTGTGTATTTTGGAAATTACATTTAGATACAAATTACTGAGTAATGAAATATGCATAATATTTTTCGATCTTACCGACTTAATAATAAGAAAATATGAACTGGTGCTTTTCACAAAAGAAAGAAAATAAAAAAAAGGGAAAAAAGAACAAAATCATCTAGATGGATAAAAAATAAAGAAAGCAATGATCTGGAATCGAAAAAAAAGTAAAAATATAAGTATGTAAATTATTGTGACACGAACCACGGCCTTCTGTTTCAGGGGCGCCCGATTACCGACCGAGCTAATATAACATTTTTTTTTCGGCGAAATTTACCGTCATATTCGAATGATATTTTAAAACAGGGATAAAAGGATATTTCCTAAAAATATTCTTTAATTTCTTATATTTCTTTAATTATGTAGATTTTCTCGCAACATGTTGTGTGCTACATTAAAATATTAATATAATCAAACAACTCATGGTTGAGGTCTTATACTTGCTTTGAAATATTATTTGTAAATTAATAGGTAATGAAAGATGGAAGTAAGACCTGAGAAACAATGTATTATTTTTACATTATGTATGTTTTTTTTTATATCTTTCCAGATTGAATCTCGCCAATTTCCGGTTACAATACATTTTAACAAACATACCCACAGCGATTACTTGAAAGAAGCATACAAGAAGACAGTAAAAATACATACAAGGCTTCCGGAAGGTGGAATTCTAATCTTTGTCACGGGTCAGCAGGAGGTAGGCTATATTCAGCATTATAATGGAATACTGAGAACTACACTATAAATATCATCTCTATATTTATTACTAGCTGACCCGGCAAAAAATGTTTGGGTGGACCACCCTTAACATTTAGGGGGATGAAAAATAGATGTTATCCGATTCTCCACCCTGGCCGATATGCACAAATAATTTCAAAATGGCTCAACCGAAGTGTTTCGGAGTAGTTCAATTACAAAACACTAGATTTCTTAAAGGTGTTTTTTGTCAGTACACCATGCTTACATAATTCTCATCAAGTTTTATTACTACATTAGCCCAATTTTAAAGCTTAAATTTGCTGCTATTGACGAAAACTTGACAAGAAGAATTTAACTTTATTCTAACATTTTCATAAAAAAACTTGTTTAGAAATTTTTGACATAGACTGTATGTGTATTTTAAGTAAACTATTTATGACATTTTTATTTAATACATTGTGCAAGATAAACAAAAAGTGTCTCGGAGTAAGTTTTAAAAAATATCGACTTTAAACTTTGCCAAAACCTAGGTCTTTAATAAATCTCTTGTGTTATTAAAATAATCTATTATATAAAATTTTTCTCTTTTAATTCTATGTCAATTAAACCTTGCAGGTCAGGTACCTGGTTCGTAAGTTGAAAGCATCATTTCCATACCGTAAAGACATTGACTACTCTAAGCTGATAACAAAGAAGGCTGTGTGCGAAGAGAATGCAGATTTTGATTCCGAGCCAGATGACATTGAGTCGGATGATGATGAGGTTAGTAACTATGTTTTAACTGCGAAGGAACAGTTTTAGCCGTTGCACGAATAGGCAGGTCCATCCAAGTAAGTACGACCTTACAGAAGACTGGTGTGAAGTGGAAGTGTTATACTTCTACATTTTGTCTGGTGAGTGACATAACCGGGCCCCGGTATTTTATTAAAAACTGGGATCGCGTCTGCAGTCCTACGGGTGTTGCAAATGTCAATGGGCGGCTGTTATAACTGAACATCGGATAAACCGCCTGCTTGCTTGCCAATTTTTACAACATAATAAAAAACTACTTGTAATTTTTGTAAATTTGTTTTTAAAAAACTTTGATTTACGTATACTCCCTCGGACAAGGCTTTTTTTTTCGTGTGAGAAATCATCTATTTTACGCATTTTATCCTGTTATACTTTTGATTTTATATTTTCCGACCTTTCGAACCCTTTCCAGCGTTCATTGTCGCGGGACACAGTCTGTCAATAATCAAAATTAAAATGCCACGAAAACCCTAAAATAGTTTCTTTTAATATGTAATATTTCGCATGCATTCGCGTAAACACAAGAATAATCAATATATTACCCATTCGTTAATCGTGATGTAATATATACAATATAATGATGAAATATACAGGTGGAGAAAGAGATGAAGAGGGCGCGCAAAGCGCGGCGTAAAGCCAAACTGAAGGCGAAATCGTTGCCGAAGGTAAACCTGGACGATTACGATATGCCCGAGGATGACGGGCAGGCGGACCTGGTGGGGAATGACGACGACAGCGACGGCCACTTGAGTGATTCCGGTAAGGAACATTGTTACCCGCGAGAACTTTATCACTTGACAGCAGATAACAGACATTCCACTGTATATTTATTTCAAAATATTGAATTAATTTTTTTATGAGACAATTTTGTCTCATTAAACCAACTGATAGCAGACAACAATATGTATATTCGTTTCAAAATATTATATTAAATTTTTATGAGACAACTGTGTCCGGTGTGTGTATTGTTCAAATTGTTGCCGTCTTAACTTCCGCAGCATGAAGGGTACAATTCGAGGATTTTTTTTAAACGAAACAGAAACTATATGTTAATGAAAAAGTGAAATTCATACGCTTTGTATTTAATGAAAAATAGATTTGTCACGTACAGTGTACGCCCTTTAATTGGCTCCAAATCCAATACAAAATATACGATATTAACGTATTGCCAAAATAGTAGGTAAGTTTCTAAAAAAAAGTGGGTGTGTACTTGCGTAAGAAGTTATTTTTCTTTAGCTTAACAAAAGAAAAATAACGAAAATTTGTATCCTTTGTGCATAATCTTTTAGAAAAAGACATTAAATGCTTTAATTAAATTTGCTGTTTTAATAAAATTTGAAATATATGTCAATGTCAAAAAGTTGTTATTGGTTGCCTTGGCAACACCATGAAACGTGGTGGGACCGTTGGTGTGTCGCGCATCGCAAAAATTCGTTCTCATCATTTTCCCTAACGCGCACAAAAGTAGTATACCTTCAAAAAAAAAAAAAAGAGTTCTTCTAATTAGTGTTTTTGTAATTCAATCAATCTCCGATGTCTATTTTCAGATATCGACGACGACATATTGGCGCCAGAGATAAAGTCCTGCAGGCAACCTCTTTGGGTGCTCCCTCTGTACTCTATGCTCGGCTCGGCGCAGCAAGCGCGCGTTTTCGAGCAGCCGCCGGTGGGCGCGCGTCTGTGCGTCGTCAGCACGGACGTCGCCGAGACGTCGCTGACCATACCCGCGATCAAATACGTCGTCGACACCGGGAAGAAGAAGATGCGGTGAGCTAGCGCGTGTTGTGAGCATGGGCGAAAGATATCGATATTTTTCCATACAATTATCGATGTATATCGTCGATATTTTTTATCGTGATGTTCGATATTTATTTTCGACTATCGAATTCGTGTCGATTTCGATATATATTTTTAACGCAACTCTGTTAACTAGATACTCTTTGCATGCTCCTCGCGCATCGTTACTTTTAAAAAATCTTTTCAACTATTTTCTGTTTATGTCTATTCATTGTTTTACGAATTTTGAATGGTTTGTAAATATTTGTGACTAATCATGCGAATACTGATATTTTTCACTCGATAAATATCGATATTTTTTCAAACTGTCTATACGATAAATATCGATATATTTTTTTACTTACCCATCCTCAGCGTGTGGGTAATGTCGCCAGTCATTATGGCTTAGGATTTGGCGCGTAGTGTGGTCGTCGCGAAGGGTCGGGAATAATAATTGCAGTAGACTGTTAACGTTGTAAATTGCAGCGTACACGTCGGCCTGGTGCGCGAAGTTGTGAGATTGATAACGTAGCTGTTAACGTTCTAAATCGCACGACCACGTGACCGGCGCGTCTTCCTAGCGCGCGGCGTGGTCGTCGCGGAAGGTTCGGGAACAATAACTGCAATAAACTGTTAACGTTCTAAATCGCAGCGTGCACGACCACGTGACCGGCGCGTCTTCCTAGCGCGCGGCGTGGTCGTCGCGGAAGGTTCGGGAACAATAACTGCAACAGACTGCTAACGTTCTAATCGTTCTAAATCAGCGTGCACGACCACGTGACGGGCGCGTCCGCGTGGCGCGTGGTGTGGTCGTCGCAGGCGAGCGCGGGCCAGCGGTCGGGGCGCGCGGGGCGCACGTGCGCCGGCCACGCGTACCGCCTGTACAGCAGCGCGGTGTTCGCGAACGACATGCCCGCCCACCACGCGCCCGACATATGCCGCCGGCCCGCCGACGACGTGCTGCTCATGATGAAGTGCATGGCAATAGACAAGGTGGCCGCGCCAAATTGAATGAACGAATGAATGAATCTATACTTTAATCTTTAATCGCTCGTTTAAAGCATAAGAAATTTTGCAATTGTAAAAAGGTTCACTACAAATGCAAAATAACATAAATCTCCTAATACTAAAAGAAATAAACAATACAAGAGGTATTTCGTTCAAATAAAGCAAGTTTACTACTACGGCAGGTCGTGAATTTCCCTTTCCCAACTGCACCGGACCGGATGCAACTCCGCTTGGCCGAGAAGCGTCTCGAGGTCCTCGGAATACTGGAGAAGCCGGAGACCAGAAAAAGGAAAGACGACGAGGAGGTAAGTTGAGTTCTATTAACGTTCGATAACTTAATTAAACTATTTTTTACGGATTTATCGGGAGTAAAAAACAGTTTAGTTTAGTAATCTATTTAATGTATTACATTACAAGCTGAAGTTTGTTTATTTGTTGCTCTACTGAAGTATGTATTTATACTACATACAAACCCTCCGCTTGAATCGCTATATATTCCTGAAAACCGCATTAAAATCCGTTGCGTAGTTTAAAAGATCTAAGCGTACAAACATCGGGAGCGACTCTATTTTGTACTATGTAAAGATATAAAAAAATCCGTCTCTCTAAAGTTTTGTGATGTGGCGATGGGCCGGCCATGTAGCTCGTAGAACCGATAGCCGTTGCGGAGGAAAGGTTCTCGAGTGGCAGCCTCGTACCGGCCATCGGAGTGTAGGACGACCCCCACTAGATGGAGTGACGACCTGTGCAAATGTGCAGGTCGATAGATGCAGGCGGCTCAGGATCGTACTTCGTGCCAGTCTATCGGGGGGCCTATGTTCAGCAGTGGACTCAAACAGATTGAAATGATGACGATGAAAATTTTTCATCCATTTTCATCATGTTACCGTGGTCGTCGTTTTTAGGTGTTGAAAGTGACACCGTTGGGGAAAGCGGTCTCAGCGTTCCCGCTGTTGCCACGCTACGGAAAGATGCTGGCTTTGAGCCACCAGCAAAACCTTCTGCCGTACACCATCACGCTAGTCTCCGCGCTCACTGTACCCGAGGTGATTTCTGTTCAACATTTTATTATATTTTTTACCACCTGTCGCGACTTTGCAGATCTAAAGAGCGTTAACGATCACCAATGTGCCGGAATCAACAACGAGCTCCGATGACTTGTCACGATTCGGGTCGAAAGAACAATTTCCTTGATCAGTATATTAAATACTTTTCTATAAGCAGGATATCATCTAAAATGTGTCATGTTTTCGACAATCTTTTCGTACTTTTTATACAAATATTAATACTTTGATATTGGCTGCCTGTGGCTTCGATAATGTTTCTATGCTATTTGTAATGGCTGAACTTGGAGTTCAAAAGTTATACGACACAATTAATAATCGTCATCTTTTTAAATACCCAGTTGAATGGCAAATAAAGATTATTACTATTGCAATTGTTATCTCCCCTTGTTGCCGAGCATGCTGATAATGCTCGATGAAGGGGGGACATGGGCGTATCACTGTATCCTGTTTCTTTGGTATGCGTTGTTTGTTGTTGTTTTCTTGAAAAATTATTCTTGTTCTATTACAGGTGATGAGTGGAAAGCCTGACTGTTGGCCGGCCACTGGTCAAATGTTGCTATTGGGCGATCCCGGAGTATTGCTCAGGGCGGTGGGGGCTGCAGAATACGCCCACGTGCAAGGCGAAGAAGAGCTGTTTTGCGCCAAGCACGGGTTGAGGGAAAAGGTTCGTGAAAGAAAAATTATAAATTTATAATAGACGACATATATGAGACAGGATAAGTCGTTGAGTGGTATTGTTTATGCAACGTCCTCGATTTAAAAATTGTGTGAACACTTATAAACAACTTACGTATAAACAAAAAATGTTTTGATTTAAAAACGGGAAGAAAGATAATAAAACTTAGTATATTGTCTGTTTAGTAAATAGTGCTAAAACAGTGGGTTCTGGTCATCTCACTAAATAGACGGGCGGGAGAGTATTTTGTCATACTTATGCTACATGCCCGACTTTGGTGATCCCGTGGTACATCCAATTCAAATCAAAATCAAATGAAAATATTTAATCATAGGCATAAGAACCATACATATCATCTATCGGTAGACATTTTTTTTAAATCTACCACCGTTTCGCAATGAGGTTCCTGAGCGGTCAGCTCACTCCCAGGGGTTATGGTGGTGGCCATGGCCCTACTAAGGACCTTTTTGACGATGCTCGTTTGCCTCCTTTTCCTATATATACATATATACGAGCTGGCACTCGCAACTTCGTCTGCGCCAATTTTACCAGGTCAATACGTTTCTACTTTTAGCATAGCGCCATCTATAGGATACTTACTCGATCCAGCCGATAAATTTATCTTACACTACCATCATGGGACTATCATCTAAAAAAATAGCTCTTTATCATCTAATAAACAAATAATTTGCAATAATAAATATTGAGATCATAATTGAGTTAAAACCAGGGTAGGTATCTCCCATGTTGGACCAAATTACAAATAATAACAAAATTAGATAAAAATTGGTTCAGTAGTTTCGGAGTTTATCGCGAACATACATCGTGATACGAAATTTTTATATATATAGATAAAAAAAATGTCCTGAGTTTTAAGCCCCCTTGGTTTTCAGGCAATAAAGGAGATCCGGAAGCTGCGCAAGCAACTCACGACGGAGATCAATCTGAGCGTGTCGGGAGTGGACCTTTCCATCGATCCGATGATGAAGCCACCCGATGAAGGGCAGGCGAGACTGCTGCGACAGCTGGTGCTGAGCGGCTTGGGCGACCAGGTGGCCAAAAAGATAGCCTTGGACGAAGTCAAAGAAGGTCAGTATTTGACGAAATTGGAAGGTTCAATTTATTGATGTATGGTATGCAAAAAATATGCATCTCTTGCTTAAAAACGAATCGCCCGGAATGCGTCGTAGTGAAAACATAGACGATTAGGGTCAAATGAGGCTTCTTCTTCTTTTTGAGTCAAAATGGCTTTTTAGATTTCGTTCGACCAGTATCTGGCCACATCCACCGCAGCAGAATTGGCTTCAAGTGAGGCTGGAGCAAAAAAACGTTGCCTGCAAAATATAATTGATAAGGACAGTTAGACTATTGTAACTCCTTCTTGTGGCGTACAAGTAAAACATTTTTAGTAACCAAAAATAAAACGGGTGACAGAAATTACACTCGCTATGCATTTCTTATTTCATTTTGAGGATTTTCCTGATATATTTACGAAGTCCAAGGTCAAATATCAACGAAAGTTCATAAATGTCGGTGTTCTGAGGTACAATTTTTTTTTAAATTTGTTAATATTTTTTACTTACTTTGTTTATTTATGTCGCTATTGAATTCGTCCAAAATCGCAATTGACTTCGTTCAAATTGAATTTCAAAATCGTGAATTTCGTAAAATTCACATATTGTCGTGGCGTAAATTAATTAGTTGTATCGTTTCATCAAGCCCCCCCCCCCCCCCCCCAGGCGAGGACAAGCGCAAGTACAAATACGCGTACCACTGCGGCGAGCTCGAGGAGCCGGTGCACCTGCACTCGGAGTCCATACTGCGGCAGTGCATACCGGAGTGGCTGGTCTACCAGGAGCTGTACGAGACCGGCCCCGAGGGCAGACGGAAGATGGTGATGAGGAACGTCGCCGCGGTGGAGCCTGAGTGGCTGCCGGTCTACGTGCCGCAGCTGTGCAACTTGGGTGGGCGTTCGTCTGCTGTTTTACTGTTCTGTGCGGTTTTTGTGGGCGTACGTCTGCCGGTTTATTGCTCTGTGCAATTTGGGTGGGCGTGTGTCTGCTGGTTTATTGCGCTGTGCGATACGGGTGGGCGTACGTCTGCTGGTTTATTGCCCTGTGCAACTTGGGTGGGCGTATGTCTACTGGTTTATTGCTCTGTGCAACTTGGGTGGGCATACGTCTGCTGGTTTATAGCTCTGTGTAGGTTGGGTGAGCGTACGTCTGCCGGTTTATTGCTCTGCGATTCGGGCGATAAAGGTTGGCAACTGAAAAGCATTCATCTCCACTGACGTTTCTAGCATCAGGTGGAGTCATAAATGCAGAAGTGCAGAAGTGTGAATTTAAAGTTTTTCACTATAAGACTAATTCTCTATCAGCCATTACATCTATATTTTATAATATTAAATATAAATATGCCACGGGTACGGTCTCGAGGTACTAATGGCTCATCGCAGTTTGTCTATAGGTACTTACTGCCATCGAATTAATTTAATATATGCCTGCTTATAGCATTGGAGATGTCTTCTATGTCCCCTATCTTAAGATAAGATGCAGTCGCGAACATTTCTTATTAGTGTGACACACGCTCACATACCGGCTACCTGTTACATTTACTGAATATGGAAACTAGTATCTTCATTCTAATTATTTATTCCAGGCGACCCACTAACAGATACGGAGCCAAGATACGACGAAAAATCTGGGCGAGTGAAGTTCAGCTTCAAGGGCACGTTTGGGAAGGCCTGCTGGGAGCTACCCGTAGTCGAGATCGACTATCCCGACAAAATTGAGCGATACAGGTAGATTATTTTTCTCCCTTTAGAAAAGGTTAGTTAGTATATTTCTCTCTCACGTGGAGTTTGTTTCCTTGAATTGATGATCGACGCTGCAGGTATAAGCATATCAAACAAAAACTACAAAACTCGTATAATAAAAATTATTTCATTTGACAATACTCTTAAAGTAAGACATTTTATATATATATTTTTTAATGTAATGTAAGTTATACCATTTTGCACTTTCCATTGTATTTAAATATAAATCGATATTTTTGAATTTGAAAAAAAAAAAGATTAATGCTATTTGTATGATCTTATAATTAACATTACGGAGCGGAACATCACTATTCCTCGTGTAATTAAAGTGCGAGATTGTCGTGCGGATGTTTTGTCTACAAATACGGAACTTGATGGATTTAATTTTATTGAGAGCTATCACGATTATCAAGCTATAATTCAGCAAGACAAGTTCGCATCGGTGCATAACACAGATGCCGTCCAACAGAGGACATTGTATATTTTGCAGATGGTTCGCCAAGTTTCTGCTAGAGGGCGCGGTGTTCCCAAAGCTCAGGAAGTACACCGGTTCCCTTCTATCGCCGCCATCGACGATGATCAAGAGCTGGGCCAAGCTGCAACCGAGGACCGAAACGTTACTCAAAGCACTGCTGACGGAAAGGGCCGGCAATAGGGATCAACTGAACAGGGCGTGGGACGGAAACTCTAAGTGTAAGTATTGAATCACGGTTGTCGTATTGGATAGTGAACTTGTCTCTCCCGCTAGAGGGCGTTGATTCGATCTCCGCTGCTGCAAAAATATTGTTTGATGAACAGTGTATATATTAATAGTATCTGTCTTTATATATCTATTATATACATTTATTTACAATAGAAGTGAGAGCTTAATACAGCTTTAGGAAAATATAGATAAAGATATACTTATAAAACTGTGTAGTATAAGAAATTATCAGAGGCTATGAGAGCGATGTACGCTACGTGGCCCTATTGCAGAATGGAGGTGAATCATTTATGTTATTGTTTTTTCAATATGCGGTTAATCTCATGATGTTTTCTTTCACTATTGAGTACTTGATAAAACGTTACTTAAAATTGCAATAGATTTTTTTTTATTTTGTTACGTTTCGTACTATTGATTCAGTTGATTGCGATCAATGTTTCGAATAATAAGTTTTATACGTTTCAGATTTACTCGGCGAGTATCTCAAATGGTTGCCAGAATCAGCACACAACGAAGTGACTCTATATTGGCCACCCGTCTAATACATAGAAGATAAGTTATGTAAATATTGTAAATAAAAACTGTGTTTTACTACCATTTGTTTTTTACTTTGTGGCGAACGTTTCCATTAGGCAAATGGCAATATCCGTTACAAACATTTTTAAGTTGTAGTTTATAGATTGGTGTCGTGGCGCTCGGCTTTAATTCAGTATAGCAACAAGCAACAAGTTCGAACAGGTGCCGGCACTGCTTGGCGGTGAAGGATAAAAAAAGATAAACGCGTAATTTAGATAGGCCCATATTTTTCAGGTTTAGTATTGTTGCCTTTCTTTGGCTGTACATTAGCCAGCTTACAGTTAGCAACTACACATCTTAAAGGCATCTTTAGGGCATAAACATGTGTCAAGACAAGAGATAGCTCATTTGCACAAGTCTTTAGAACTATAGTTCGTACATCGTCCGTTCCACTGGATTTGAGCACGTCCAGACTCTTGATGATTTTTAAAAGCTCTCTGTGTAACCGTGACATATTGTTTACACATGCCATTCAACATAATCAGAACAAAACGATGAAACGCGTACAAACATATCCAGATTTTCAACCGATTTTCCAAAAAATGGGGAGGTCCTCAATTCGACTCTATTTTTTTTAATGTTTGTTACCTCAGAACTTTCGACTGATTAAACCGATTTTGATGATTCTTTTTTTTATTTGAAAGCTGGTGCTTTCCATGTGGTCCCATATTCATTTCGTTGTTATTGAATCTAGGCTCCGGAGATACTTCGGGAACTCCTGAAAATCTAATGTATAAAATTCTCGTGTCACGGTGTTTGTAATTGAACTCCTACGAAACGGCTCGACTGATTTTCGTGAAATTTTGTGCATATCGGCCAGGGTGGAGAATCGGACATCTATTTTTCATACCCCTAAATACTAAGGGTGGTCCACCCCTAAATGTGTGTTTTTGTTTTTTATGATATAGCATACAAAAATACATACAACCCTAAATTTTCACCCCTGTGCAGACGTAGTGGCGAGCAGCAGCTCGTCAGTAAAAAAATAAATACCGTGAGATATTCAAAGTTGGTTTTGTTTTTCGTTAATAAAAATAAATTATTAACAGTAAATTTTTATGGCTACAACAAGCAGCATAATTGCGAATGCGAGTAAAATAATGTCTTTACGTACATGAGAATACCGAAGTCGTGTCATCAAAATTACATAATAGTGTTTAAAGATGGTGGAGTAATTCAAGTTTAACAGTCTTTGTTATATTGCAATATTGGCAATAGCAGCTGTTATAATAATGTAATTCTATTAACTTTGTCTCAATTTTCTTATGAATAGACGAGTTTTACCTTATAAGAATCTTAGTACTATGTCTTAAAAATTCATCCTTATTTTTATGGACATAAATTAATATAACATCTTCAAGTATATACTGAGAAGCAACAGTCAATATCTTTATCTCTTTAAACACATTTCTTAGTGATTCTTTGGGGCCCAGGTCATAAACTGCTTAAATATAATAGCTCTGAAACTGATATTTTCCGTAACAAATGTGTCCCGAAATGAACTGTGTAACTGTGTACTAGTGTGCCGTATCGCATTTTTTATAGTTAGCAATACGCGAGGAGCATGCAAAGGGTATCTAGTAATATTAACCACGAAACCAGAGTTGCGTTTAAAATATATCGAGATTGACAAGAATTTGATAGTCTAAAATAAATATCGAATATGGATGTATCGCGATAAAAATATCGACGGTATCTATAATTGAATGGAAAAATATCGATTCGGATTTTTTGCCCATGCCTACCATGGACCGCACGGTTGTTATCCGATATTCCTGTGGCGTTTGTGGAATAAAACGGACGCCACTGACGTGTGGTCGTGCCCCAGCTTGCCAGGCAGCTGCTGGAAATGGCGTGTCCGGTTCGGCAGATTCTCAAATACGATCTTGGGTAATCACCGGGTCTTTTGTTTGAGTGGTGTTGTTGACCGCTGATGCGCGGTTGCTGTTGTTATGTTGTCTTTGCGGCTGTGGTGAATGTCGTGGCGATTTCGACGACGAAGATGCTTTGGCCGCCGTTGACGCGTAAGACGTTGACGGCTGTGTTAATTGGCGGGTGATTGGTAGTGATCCTCTGCTCGCCAACATTCTGAGCAATGGTGGTATAGGTGGTTGCATCAGTCCACGCCGAGATGTTACAGGATATTAAGTACTTTGGTGCGCACTGCCAACCCGTTTTCAGCAGAAAAGGGGAGATACAGTACGGAGCACGGCTACGAAAATCAGCTCTAGAAAAAATTCTAAATTTATCTCTTAATGAATTAAGCTGGACTCAAGCTACGCTACGTTTTGGTGGTATCGGTGTAAGGAAAATTTCTAGTGTCGCTCTACCTGCCTTCCTTGCTTCCGTGCATAGCGTAAATAATTTATGTAATAACATTCTTAATCACGATTCAGAACTTTCCTATGCAGAGGAGGCAAGGATGTCTTGGCTGTCTATCTGCCCCAACGAAAATATCCCACTGGAAGTAAACCTACAAAAACAGTGGGATGTTCCTTTGGTGCGGAGAGTACAGAGAGATACGTTTCAATCTTTAGAAAGTAATTTAGAGCGTGCCCGTTTCCTAGGCGTCTCATCTAAAGAATCGAGTTATTGGCTTCACGCTTTACCATCAAGTAACTTGGGCACATTACTTGACGTTGAAAGCTTACGCATTGCTGTAGGAATCCGTCTGGGGACACCGATTTGTCAACCACACCAATGCCCTTGTGGTGTCAGTGTGGACAAATTTGGTCTCCACGGGCTTTCTTGTCAAAAAAGGCCTGGCCGTTTTTCCCGCCACGGATCCCTGAACGACATCATCCGTAGGGCTCTTGTTTCCATCAATGTTCCATTTATTTTAGAGCCCTGTGGCATTTTTCGCGACGATGGTAAGAGACCCGACGGTTTAACATTGATCCCTTGGGAGAGAGGCAAAGCCCTTGTTTGGGACGCCACTTGTGTAGACACTTTGGCTGCCTCTCATCTAAGGGGTACTTCCGTCAGGGCCGGGGCGGCATCGGAGGCAGCTGAAGTAAGTAAATGGCGCAAATATGAGTCTTTATGTTTAGATTATGTATTTGTGCCATATGCTGTTGAAACGTTAGGTCCGTGGGGTCCCCGTACATCAAATTTTTTTAAAAGTTTATGTCCTAGGCTTAACGCCGCGGCTGGTGACAAGAGAGCTGGTTCTTTTCTCGCTCAAAGGTTAGGCATAACTATTCAGCGAGGTAATGCAGCTAGCGTTCTTGGCACCATGCCGCGTGGATTAGGTTTATTAGATAATATGTAATTTTAGATAGATTTAATCTTGTAAATATTAGATCAATAAAGATTGTAACGGCTTAAGTAGGTCTAACATAGTTTAATATACATTAGTCTATATTTTAAATAATATCTCGTACAAATAATAATTTAAGTTTCAAAAGTTATTGCATGTTGATTGCAAAAATCGGTTTTTAGTACTGCACGCGAGGTTATTTTGCTAATTTAATAACATCAGCTTCTCAATGATTCCAAGAAATTCTTTATTGCATCAATAAGTGGACAGTCTCTACAGGGAACGCTTGAAGTAAAGTCTTCCAAAAAGTTGTGAAGTGTTTTGAAGTGTAATAAGAAATGAGGTGTATGAGTATTTTAACATTTCTTCTTGTATTATCTTTATCGAACGGTGCATGGAGGAAAACTCTAAAATATAAACTAGATATTATACATTATAACGATTTCCATGCCAGGTTTGATTTATTAAAATTTAAACTCATCATAAATTATGCTATTATTTCATTTCAACACGTGAACTAAATTATTATTCAAAGGATTTCATTTTTATATCGTTTTGAACGTTTGAAACATAGTTTTATCGTTTTATTTTTTTAAGTAAGAAGGTGGACTAGCGGTTCACTTGATGTTAAGTGATATTTGCAACACCCGTGGGGTTGGAGATACGTTGCCACCGTACAATGAACCTTGGCTATCGCAATCACCAGACGAAATGCAGTAGTATAACAGTTTCACTTTTCGCCGGTCTTCTGTGAGGTCGTGGTACTTACCCGGATAGACCTACCCGTTCGTGCAACAGCGAAGACTTGCGTGGCCCTACCAGAGTTGACTTTTTCATGACCTTTCTACGACCCCCAGTCTTAACGGTTTATCTTTCTTGTTCATTGTTTTGATTGGCTGTTTTTTGTTATTCCCGTCGTTTACTTCTGTGACCTTGGTCCGACAGATTCCGAAATTGAAATTGCAATCTCCTTCAAGTACTCTATAAACAAATACATGTTTTTACTGTCGTAAGTTCGAGTGAATTTAATATAAGCAGTAAATATTTTATTAAAAGTTAAGGAAGACGTAACGGGACAGTTGGAACTTGAAAAAAATTTATGTAGACTAATAGTAGTAATATAATTGATCAAAAATTTTTCATAGAAATAGTACTTAGCACGGTTTCTACCTTTTTATCCCATAATATAAAAGGATTTTTAAGTTTTTTTTTTTAATGAGTGTTATGACACCAAAAATTATCTCTAATTACTATTCACAGAGAAATGAGCACATTAACTCAGATGTTAGTTACTTTTAATATTTCAAGTCCTCCAATCAACCGAGAATGATTATGCAATGACTACTAGAAATAGTCATTTCTATGAATTTATGTTATCATAAGTTTTAAATTTGTTATTTGATATTTTATATTAAATTTGTTCAATTAAAGCATAATGATTTATAACAATGTGTTATACCTGAAGAACAGATTTTTTCAAGCTTACTGTGACATATTTCTGCAATTTTTTCAGCATCAATTTATGATAATAATTGTTATAATTAGACAAAACGAGGTTTGAGATAGTGTTCTATAATTCAAAGCATCGGCCATGAATATCGCTACAATCACTTTAACTTTTGCCCTAAGCGGTATTAACATATATGTAAATAATATTGTGTTATTATATAAACTACATTAAAAAATAAAGTGTCAAAATCGACTACCAGGATCGTAATTATCTTAGACTTTCAAGTATAAAATTATTTACATTTGTCTTCTTTTATTAAGTCTAGTACTTATGGATCATATTGTGTTCGTTTCCCACCCGATACGAGTATTTTTGTGATCTTTACTTGAAATGTAAGTGGAATAAGTGTTTGTCTCTATATTCAATTGTCTCTAAAATTATATAAAGTATTTTATCAAAATAGGGTAAAAAAATTCTAATAAATATTTTCCGTAATGGGCATACAACATTTGCTATATACGAGTAAAAAAAGAAAAAATAAGATGTTTTTATTATATAAGATCTGTTATTAGATTAGATTTGCGGTATAAGTGAAAAAAAAAAAAAGATGTGTAGTTGTGTACGCACAAAAGAAGAAAAATAACTAAAGAGATATAATTAAAAATATATCCCCGGTTTAATTAAATAACTGGAATTATAGGTAGGTAAATGTCTAAAAGTTGTTATTCGTTGGCGTGGTAAAGTTCCGTGAAATTGGTCGAAGTTGGTCGCTTTGCAACCAACTTCATCACGCCGCTTTTTGGCTGTGCGCTCACGTGGTTTGTGCACGTGCAACGTAAAAATTTTACTCTCATATTTTTATATTTTTTATAATTTTATCTACATATTTTTTTCAAGCGCGCCGAAGTATAACTTCGAAAATTTTATCTTATTGCGTAAATATAAGTACAGGATAGGTCGTGACTGTATGGCGATATTTGCAGTCAACCTTTTTTGTAGCTTGCTATCGTTTTTCCGCTTATAATTTTCGCTCTAAGCTAGCGAATCCACTTGGAGCTTACGACTCTATCTCGTGCCTTATTTTTAATTTCTTGTCCTTCGCCTTTTTTCGATATTTATTCTCTCTTATATTTAAACTTGACCTCTACGTTATAACCTCTATGGTGTCTGCTTTGATTATATACTTGTCTAGATGCCACATTAGCCGTACCGAACGGAGGAAATTGGTACTCGCGTTTTACTTACAACATCACTTTTTGTCGATAATTTTTGTTATTTCTTTCTTTCTTTTATTTTGGGTTTCAAATTTCCAAAACTCATTGAATTTCTTTTTGTTACTAAAATAAATAAAAATACAAAATCATTACTTTATTCGACCTATTTTGTTTGACTATCACCTTAATAAATAATGGGGAAAACTTAAATTAATAACCCTATAATTATCCTAGCAGGCATCCCTAAACATACACACATCGACTGTTTGTTTACAATGTGTCTGTGACTTCGAATTTTGTATCAATTTTTATGTAAAATTCGACGTGCAAGCGAAGCGTCTATTTGAATTAAGATATTTTGAGTTTAACTTTGAATAGTACACGAGTGGTACTCACACATAATATGTGCATATTATGCACTCAATCGGAGATATTTTTGTTCGTCATTCGTTAAGCATTGCTCCATCTAGACAGGTATATAATCAAAGGGTAGTTGATAATAATATAGTTGTTATTTGTTGCACTTCATCGATAAATTTAAAATATCATCAAATATCATTATTTGGACAATATAATATGTGAATCTTTTTATACCTACAATCTACAACAAACAAAATTTTGTATATTGTAAACGTTAAAATCATTACATCATTGTTCATATCGAACCAACAGATTGAATTACGATTATTTTCACTGTCTCATTATTTATTAACGTAATGGCTAAAAAAGAATCAAGAATGCATTTTAGTATCGGTGATTAAAAAATATTTTATTATCAATGACGTCACTTTTCAATGGTTTCCCTTCAAAACGTATAAATCTTTCGCCTTTTACGTACCTTTTTTTTTAGTATCCCACCGACTATATTAAAGTGTTTCGCCGATCCTATACGTACAAATAAGGTCTGTGTATAGGATATCTCACATGAAAGAATATGGTCTGCGTGTTGAGTAACATACACGTAAGAATACGGTTTCAATTTCAAATTCAAATCAAATCAAATTCAAATCAGTTTGCGTGTCGTGTAGTTTACCTAAGATTTTGGTCCGCGTATAAGATATCTTACATGTGTGTCTACGGTCTGCGTGTTGAGCAGCATACAAGTAAGAATACGGTCTGCGTCCCCCTACGGCTGTACGTACAAATAAGGTCTGTGTATAGGATAACTCACATGAAAGAATATGGTCTGCGTGTTGAGTAACATACACGTAAGAATACGGTTTGCGTGTCGTGTAGTTTACATAAGATTTTGGTCCGCGTATAAGATATCTTACATGTGTGTATACGGTCTGCGTGTTGAGCAGCATAAAAGTAAGAATACGGTCTGCGTGTCAAATAGCTATACGTACGAATACTGTCTGCGTATAGGATATCTCACACGTATGAATACGGTCTGTGTTCAGTGACATACAGGTAAGAATATAGTCTGCGTAGCTTGACGAACGAATACGGTCTACGTTAAGTAGGTCTGTTCTTTGAACCATATTACAGGTAGTAAGGACTCTACGCTAAGAATGCACTACGCGGCGAAAGAGTTTCTTCTGGCGAAGGGTTTTAAGAGTTTTCTCTGACTATTTTGTAACAAGAGATGGATTACAAACGGTTTGTTTATAAGATAGAATAAACTAGCCTAAATAACTAATAGAACAGCCTGAATTAAACGAATGGTTATCGAGCGAGTAAAGCGCAAGGTTTACTATGTCTTTACTCAACCGACTGATCTAACTGTGCCTCTGCTAAACAATGAAGTGGAAGGTGCGCCCTCGGTAAAAATTTGGCCAGTCCCAGTGACATCACCCCAAGAATTTGTGTCGAGGACGAGTAGGTGATGGATTTTTGTTGCGGAAACTCTGCTGGATCGCTAATCTAACTGTTATGGACGAATTTCTTGTTCGTAACATTTTTTTTTGTGTGTTAATTGTTTTTATTAAATTTTTTATAACAATATTCTTATACTTTTTTCTACATTTTAGTGCTCCTTTGGAAAACTAGTTCCTTATTATATTGTAACCAATGATATTACCTATATACAAATACGGTAGATATGACACTGGCGCATCGAAATTGAGACACTCAAATTATACTTCTATAGCATCTGTCACATTCATATATATAAATATACAAATTAATACGTACGCACGCTTCATAACATATGCCAAGTCGTCGTCTATCAGTTAGTCGGGCGAATCACTGACAGTGGTTATTGCCGTAAGAAATCACTATTTTTTTCTAATTGTTAGTAAAAAAAAAAGTTACAAATAAACGCAAGAGCAAAACTCGTACAATCAAACGCAAACAACATAAACGCAATACAAATATAAGACAAGAGTTTTAGACAAATTGAGTATCGTTCAGCGCTACCGGCCATTCTAGAACTTCGCAGATAGTTTTAATCAAAAAAGTTATGTGTTACTTGAAGCGCTTAATTTACTGACTAGTAACTTAATGCTGTTTCTATCTCATTCGTCTCATTAAAAATATATTGTACCGGGAAATGAGATTGAATAACCAAGTCAAGTCCATCAACTCTTTAAAATATTTATGACAGAAGAGTCCGTGTATTTCTGTTAATTTATGTTGCAAAATTGTGAATATAAACCATTCACGAATCGACAAAAAAATCATAAAAATCGGCCCACCCGTTAAGGAGGTTTAGTGACATACACACGTACTGTAGAATTACATATACATGTGTGTGTATATATAGATAATGTTAAAAAATTGTGTATATTTTATAAAAATAAACAAGTATCAGCTATACATTTCCCACTGCTGAGCAAAGGCCTCCTAGAGAATATTAGGGCATAGTTTACAGACTTGACCATAGACTTGACATAAATTCGAAAATATGTTTCTTTGTTATTATTTCGGAAATGTTGCAGGTTTCCTTACGATGTTTTCCTTCACCGCTGAGCACGTGATAAGTCAGCACTTAAAATTAACAATTTCGTTGGTGCCGTCACCGAGGATCGAACTCAGGTCGCTCGAGTATATTAAATTAAAGGCGAGCGTCCGGACACTGAGCTATCAGTATATTTTATAAACCCGGCAATAATTTACTTTTAATATATTTTAGACCAATTGAGTAAGACATAATCTGTTTTTAATATCAGTGGCATTAGTAGGCTATCTTTACATTAAGCAGAATTGACTTACAATATCTGATTTTCATCGTGGTTAACAGTTATCAAACATTTCTTGTATTTAAACGGAAACTATATATTGGTAAATACGAAGTATTCACGGTTTTAAAGTTGTTAATAAAATGGCAAAGTGTCGTTAATGGTGGCTAATTGGCCTTTGTTTAACAGTAGACGTCTTCCGCTGACAATGATGACACATTATTAATCCAAACCGCTGTATGAAAGACCCAATGGTCAACGATGAAATGGTAATCCAAACATCCTAATTTAGATGACCGCAAAAATAAATTTTTTTGGTGTACACAATATGAATAAAACAATCTGGGAGTATGAGGTAGGCATAAACGTAGGCGCGCTTGAGCCATTTAGTTTTCTTCGAGGGACCCTTGACAAAGTAAAGCGAAATATGTAAATAGATATTAACATTACGGCACGTCCACGTGTGTCCTGAAAATTGAGTGTGCAACATTTTTACCGTCTTAAATAAATATTTATGGTAAAGTCTAGAATAGTGATGAATAGAGAGACAATTTCTCTAAAAAATAGCATCGGCAAATATGAGACAAAAAACAATTCATCAATTGGACACTTATCTGTAACGTAAGTAATATAACTGCCATTTTTAGTCACAGTCTCACGTCGTACGCGAGCGATGAAGGCCGCTCTATATTGACGCTCTACATCGACTATCGCGGAGATAAAATGTCAATAATTGTGATATTAAGTAAAATCTTTGTTGGTTTATTGACAGCATATTTAGTTGACAGTTTCGCGTTGCCTTTCGAGGGATTGTATAAATTGGACATAATACATTACAACGACTTTCACGCAAGGTTCGTATAGTTCCATAAAATCATTCGATACTTTTGTTGATTAGTTTTTTAACGTTTATAATAAATGTGTTACAATTATGATTTTTGTATACTTTTTGTCATATATTGAATAACGTTACAAGTTTTTATGAACGCCGAGCTATTATATATTGACCATTAAACCTGAAATTATTTTGATTTCATAATATAAAAATTTTTAAAAGCTAAAAATCTTACAATAGTTTTTGCATGTTCTTAGCAGAACTTCGAACTCCACCAAAAATGTGTTTACAAAACTGATGGCAATTTATAAGGGACCAATGAATTAATTGATCATGATATCAATCGTGCAAGTTTGACAAGTTATTAGTCCTTAATTAATTTTGTGCATGTTCAAAGTTAGCGCACCATATTTTTCACAAAATAATTGAACTTGTCATCAAAATCATGAACGGTGAAGAAATTTTATCTCATACACACAACGAAAATTTTAAGAAATGTTTTAACTTTGAAAAATTATTTGTAGGTACTGTGCGCTTTTTAAGTGGATGACGGAACAAAAATATTTAATGACTAATGTGTCAGAGAGACTGTTATGTTATCGTGTAATATTACGAGTATATGAATAATAATAATCTACTACGTTGCGACTTATTACCTTTTGCGTTTAGTGCACGTGGGTTATGATTCAAGGAAGTGACAAATTGCTTGGCTTTGTGCCTCATTGAATAAAAGTCATTGACTTCTTCGAATGTGAAATTTACGAACTTTGAAAGTCGAGAATCGTAATGTCTACTTATATTATAGTTTTCCTTGGCAACTTATCAATCGCATACCTGCTGCTTTTGTTATGATTTGCTAATAACAATGTTTGTCTGATAGCAGTATTTTACGTTCTAAAGCTGCCCCGTTGCGTTAAATACAATTTATTCTTTATTTGTTAATGATTTGACTAGAATTTTTACTGAAGCGATATTTACATATTATGGGACAGTACGAAATCCTATAAAATATTTGAACCCATACCGGATTGATACAGGAGGATTAAGCATCCTATTTTTAATTAATCTCATTAAAATGATTTTTGTGTAAATGGTCTCAACATATGAATTTTTCATAACTCAGGAATGTACGCACTGCATAACATCGAAATTTTTTACCACAGATCTCTTTTTTTACCACAGGTTTTTACCACAGATCGATGTTCTTGATATTTGGCTTTATCATAACCGTTCGCAATTCGGTACAGATGCAACACCTGTCTTTTTTAACCTTCATAAAAAAGCTTAGTATAAAATGTACAATTTACCTCTGTGTACTGTGTGTGAGATATGCCTAAACTAGAAATATTTTAGTTATCAAGTTACCGTACTGAGAAGTAACTTGGCTAAATTCTGTTATTACTTACAAGGCTTAAGTTTTATGCCGTTATTCAATTCACATTTTGTATTATTCGTTTACGGCGTGTTTATCACTAATATACCTCATATTTACGCCATTCTGGTTTGCGAATATTTTTAAATAATATCCTTGTTCTATATTGTTTTTGAGCAGTTGTTTTTTTACCTTATCACACCAATTTACAGTTTAAAAAAATCCGCCCTTCCGACACCCGTCAAAAACTTAAATGATTTCATATGGTTTCACTATTAGACGGAATGATTTACTTTTATTTATGCCTATTACAGGTATACACAACATTTACGATCATGCATCGAGTTATGAAAATGCATTTCTGAAGGAACCCGTTAGCGATCACCGATGAATTTCTTGGGGCTCTCTTGTCAAGAAGAAGCTGGCGGCTTTTCTCACCACAGTTCCTTGAACGTCGTCATTCGTAGGGCTCTTTTTTCTTCTACTTACCTTCTATTTGAGAGCACTGTGGCATTTTCCTCACAATGACCAGAGACACGTCGACCTTATTTTGAACTCTTGAGAGAGAAACAAATCACTCGTTTCGGGTGCATCTTCTGTAGACACTTTGGCTCCCTCTTGATTCTGAGTCTTTGTACAGATTATGTATTTGCTGTTGAAACCTTAGGTCCGAGAGGTTTCCGCAAATTGAATTTTTTTTAAAGGTTTACGCTTTCTTCGTTTCTCGTTTACGTTTCTCGCTTAAAGGTGGATCGTAGGTCTATTAGATAATAGTTAGGCATACATTAAGGCTAAATTAATTTGCCGAAGGTGCTTTAGATAAGCCACATTTATAGTCAATTGTTTAAAACTGTTTTGATAGAGTATCTTTTATAGTTTTAGCTAATTCTCTATAACCATTCTGACTGCATTTAGCAAGCGTTGGCTTTACACGGATCACATACAGCGTTATGATCTGTAGTATAGCAGCTCTCTGAAACAGATATTTACCAATTATAAATTACCAAATCATCTCTCATTTTATAGAAAACGACCTTGCAATTCATATATTTAAGTAGCCCTTGTCAATTGAAACTTGAGGTGTGTTAGAATTAGTTTATATTACAGCTTATGATTTAATAAACACAAATATTTTATTTTAAGAAGATTAAACGTCACGTACGCTACAATTCTTGCACTAATATATTTCATATTTATTCGCAACTACTTGTATCGCAATAAATTATTTTTATATACTTCCTATCAATTCATACAAAGAAGATGATGGAGGCCAGCCGATTTGAACGTCACAAAAAGGAATAAATTTTAGATAATTTTAGATAATATAACTTTTAAGTTTTTTAAAATGTTAAGTATCTAGTGTTTGGCCAGGATAAGAAAAAGTAGTCTAGTCCTTTTATTTTAAGGTGTAAGTTAATATCCCTTAGAAAAACCCTGGGTACATGGGTGCAATTGAAAAGAGAGAAGTTTTTATTTATGATTTAACTTGTCCAAAACTTCAGAAAAAATGAAAATTAAATCCAATAGTATCCATTTACTCAGAAGTGTTACAAATCAAGTTGAGTTTTTCTTACACTTACTTCTTACACGTACTTCTACACCGTTTTGATATTTAATTAATGATCAACCTAATATTTTTTTGTATAGAACAATTCAATAAATTGAGATGAATATACATGAATATGTTATTAGGTAAATTTACTGCATTTACTGACCTGATTTTTTCGGAACCCCAATCATTAATTCCAGCCTATTTCGTATTTCAAGGTATGAGGAAACTTCAGTCGAAACACCAACATGTCGATTCAACAATGGCTCCTGCTTGGGCGGGTTCCCGCGTCTTTACAACGAGATAATGGAGTTGAGGCGGCAGAAGCCCGACTCCCTGCTGCTAAATGCCGGTGACAGCTTCCAGGGCACGTATTGGTACACATTGCTCAAGTGGAACATCACCCAGGAGTTCATGAATCTTTTGCCACACGACGCACATGTAAGTCATGAATAATTTGTCCAAGATTGGTAAATATTATTTGGTAAATACCATAAATACCATTTATAATATTTTGGTAATTGGTCATTTCCACTCGGGGTCAAAGAGCTAACTCAATTAGGATCGAGATCAGGCGCAGATTGGACAGCTTTTGCCTTTTTTAGAGTAATTTTAGAATATATTCCTCTGTTTTCCATGTTCGGACAAGTATATGCTCGGTACAATTTTCTCATTTGTTGCCTAAATTTCGTTAATAAACTTCCATGCAGTACCTGCACCGAAGCGTTGTTTCATCGAACATCGAACTTAAAGACGTTTAGAAACATTTAGAATTCTAGGGCTTACGCATGGAAAAAAAGAGATTTTTGTCATCTTGGGCAAATTATGATGTGTTGTGAAATTATTGATGCCGTTTGAATTATTGCATTGTTTAAAGTAAAAAGTAAAGTAACAGCCTATACATGTCCCACTGCTGGGTAAAGGCCTCCTCTATACAGAGGGATAAGGGCATAGTCCACGCGGCCCCACTGCGGATAGGCGGACTTCACATATCTTCGAAAAAAAAATTTTATTTCGAAAATATGCAGATTTTCTCACGATGTTTTCCTTCACCGCGGAGCACATGATAAGTCAGCACTTAAAGTTAAAAACTTTATTGGTGCCGTCACCGGGGATCGAACTCAGGCTCGAGTATATTGAATTAAAGGCGAGCGCCCGGACACTGAGCTATCTCGGCATTGTTTAATGGAACAAAATTAATTATTAAATAGGCAGTTGGCAATCACGAGTTTGACGATGGTCCCGAGGGTCTGGCGCCTTACTTCGCGGCGTTAAAGGCGCCTGTGGTAGCTGCCAACATGGACGTCAGCAAGGAGCCATCCCTTCAAGGACTCTTCAAACGCCACGTTATCGTAAAGCGTAAAGGAAGAAAAATCGGCATTATCGGATTAATAACAACCGACACAAAAGTAAGTTGTCGTCGGAAAAAATTTCAGTATTTCTCATCTAAATTCAGAGTTTGACGATTCCTACATGATAAAACTTAGTTTTGCATATAATGATTATTTTAGATAATGTATTACCTAATTGCCATGTTTTCTCAGGATTATTGCAAATTCTGAAGGAGATTTATGGGAAGTCAGAATTCATATGAATGTAGAAACTGCTTTATTTATTCCAGACACTATCATCACCAGGAAACGTTGTTTTCACTGATCCGATGGAAGCGACAGATCGTGAAGTAGAAATATTGACTGAGAAGGGAGTAGATATCATAATTATACTCTCACATTGTGGCCTTGACATTGATAAGTGAGTCTCTGTTTTTTATAGTATTAACATGGAAAGCTGTATTTTCTTTGTATAAATCGTTAAAATTAAAATTAAACAAAATTGAAAATAGAATATATTTGAAGAGGATAAACAAAATTATGTCTTGTCTCAATTATGTCATCTGTATCGCAAACAAATATATTTTGTATGTACAATATACAGATGAAAAAACCTACGAAAGCCTCACGATCCCTCGACTCGATATTTAGATAGCAACACGGCATCGTTGCGTTCTTGAATAGTTTGTATTTCACGATTATATAGAAATGTACGTGATAAAGTCTGAGAGTGCCTATCGATATTTCTTTATGCTGATTAGACAACCGGATATCACTATTACAATGTGTTAGATCTTTGTTAATGTAACAATTACGTTCTTGTTTAATTTTTCTTAGGTAACGAATAAATGAAAAGAGAAATATGGAATTATTGTATTTAATTCAAAAAGTGGTCACAAAAATAGATGTATACTAATATTAACCAGTTATTAATGCTTAATTTAGACATTAAACTAGGTCATAGACGTAACAGTAAGAAAGGGCTGCACAAAGCAATTCCACTTAGCATAATGCCTTTGTTGAGTTCATATAATTTATAAGTAAATAGAATTGATAATTATTATATTTTTGAAACGTAAAATAATTAAAGCAAGAATAAATAACATACAAAATTGCACATCTATAGATAAGTTACCGAAACTAAAGAGGTGTAATTTAATAGTGTATGGTAGTTACAAATAATCTCTGCGACGTGAAGTGTCAATTCATTAATTCTCCGTAGATAAGATAACCAAAGTTATCATTTATCTTGGAGTAGGTACCTATGTTTAATATTTCGGTTTCCTTTTCTAGTTGAATTTCTTCGGAAACATCAACAGAACAAAGAATTAAATTTTAAATAGGAGCCAATTGAATCTTTATACACGTAAATATTAACTATTTATATATCACCAATAACTTTGTTAAAAACAAAATAGTATTCAAATTATAAAAACACTTTACGAGAATTCGGAAAAATAGACGGCAGGAAGTGCAATTGAACCTTGTATCTCTCAGTCTAGTCTTAGTATTTATTATGTGTCGTAGACAACAGTAATTTTTAGGGTTCCGTACCCAGTAAAAGGGTAGGGTCCCGACCCTATTACTAACCCACTGTCTGTCCGTCTGTCACCAAGCTATATCTCATGAACCGTGATAGTAAGACAGTTGAAATTTTTCGCTAATGATATATTTCAGTTGCCGCTATAACAAAAATACTAAAAAAACAGAATAAAAATATGTTTACCACTTAAACAAGATCCCATACAACAGACATGATTTTTTTGGCGTTTTTATCGATATATGATACGGAACCTTCGTGCGCGAGTCCGACTCGCATCTGGTCGGCTTTTTAATTACTTGATCAATCTACTAAAGTAGTACTAAAGTAGTACTAAACTATATTATGACATTTTCGCAGACAGATAGCAAATAAGCACGGCAAGCATGTTGACATCATAGTTGGGGGACACTCGCATTCTTTATTATGGAATGGTCCGTCGCCAAGTGGTGAGGACGTGGCAGGCCCTTATCCAGTTTTCATTGAAACCACCGATGACAAGAAGCATCAGGTAAATTTTCAGTTCGTTTTAATTCCGTAGAGTTCAGTATCGGATACAATAAAATTTTTATTTAAAATGTAAAAGAACCCTTTGAAATACGATGTATGGCAGTGGAAGACAACATCACGATTGTAACTAGAAGTTCACGAATAGGGATTGTGGTCTGGATTCTGTCGGACCTCTCATATAAAGTAAACACCTAAAGTAAAAAAAGTAAAGTACTCAGACTGAAAGATAAAAATATATATAGATAGTCTTTTGTGGTTTTGTGGAGTACACACTGAGTAGTGACAGCCATACAGAATCCTCCTGCTGTTGATTGAATGGGCTCATATGAAAAATTACTTTAATCTGACAGAATGCAAAATCTTTATATATATATATATTTCTTCTGTGTGTGTGTGTCACTGAATTCCTCCTAAACGGCTAGGGTCTATCAGGTCTGCTGGTATATTTATAATTTTGTATTCGATCTGGAGACGGAGGTGCATACTACCCTACCGGGGTATATTCTATTAATTGCAATCCCATTGGAAATCCGATGAACCGCTGCCGTTTGCGGCATTCGCAAAAAATAAGCATCAGTTCAAGCAATTTTTACAAACAAATGAATATTATTTAGGTACTGATTGTGCAAGCATCAGCCTTCACCAAATATATGGGCAATTTGACCGTGTACTTCGATTATCTGGGGCGCTACGTCAAGTGGGACGGCGGACCGGTGTTCCTTGATCGATCTATCCCTGAAGGTATAATTGTACATTTTTGCGTATTGATAACCTTTAAATAATAATTACAAATATTGCATGTTTTTCCTTAAGAAGCTTTAACGAAAAGTAGTTATATAGTTAGCCTTTTGTGAGGTGAGTACAATTTGTCATAAGTAATGTGTGTAAAGAAAACTCAATACCATGGAAATGTGTATTGAGTTTTGCTTTATTACGAGCGATCCCTTAGAATAAGCATTATTCTGTCTTGCACGGGGCGGGCTGGCGCCTATTTAATATAAATTCTGTCCGTCCCCGTGACTGGGTCACCGAGCCTCACCCTGTGGTCTTGATCGGTCCGATTGAGTCAGCCGGAGCAAACCCCTACGCCGATCTCCCACTGGAGGAGTCGGGGAGGATGTTTCAGATGATTGGCTTGTTTTCTTAAATTGTCCCATAATTTTTAACAAAACATATTTTTTCTTTCTTTCACTACAATTATATTCATTATCATCATGGTCATTCTTCTGTCCTAATCCTACCTAGGTGCGGTCGGCACAATATTTGTATGGTGCAAGCGGTTTTGGCCAGGTTTTATTACGACTGGCTGCCAGCCTGACATCAACCCTCCTTTGGAAAAAAAAACTTCTAGATCGGAAACAATTATCTGTGGGTTACACAAATACTTGTGCCATAGGGAAATCGAACTTAGGACCCACAAAACGAAGCCACACGATGGTAAACATACTACTTCAGTAAAAGCCTATTCATTCGTGCCTCAAAGACACCCACGCTATATACGCATAAATAATGACAAATCACAGCTTGCGTGTGTGTGGATGTAAAAATGGTGGTCGAAGATGGAAAAAGGAGACAGGAATTAATATTTGTATTGCCGATGTATGTACGTTCCCCTCAATGCAACTCGTAGAAAACTGAGAGGCTTTCTATCCTGTTAAGGGCTAGTACGATTATTTCTAACCAAGTTAAAGTCAATGAATTCTCCATAAGTTCTAAAGCATCAATATGGTATATAGCAGCATCCGCCCAAATGGGGCAGCGGTACTCGATATACTATAGGGTCATAGGAACGCTTTCGAAAACTTTTAAACCCGGCCAGCGCTGTTCACCTTAGCAGCTCGTGTAGGTGAGGGGAGCAACTTCTCACCTTCAGGAGTTACATACTAATATTTAGTAGACTACAGAGCGAGTTAATATTTGCCTTTTCCATACCTTAGCTGTAGCTGAGGTACCTTCCCTAAATGGAAACCAATGATCACTTTAACCGACTGTGTACTTTCTTTGCCATTGTTTTCATTCAACTTGTTTTCATGCTACTTTTCTATGCCTTACAATAAAATTATTAAAAAGCAAAACATCCGTTTACAGACCCAGAAATAAAGAAGAAGCTGATACCGTACGCAAAACTTGTCCATGACGCTGAGAACGTGCCAATAGGAAAGTCATTGAATGATTTGCGGTTTCAGGATTGCGTGTTCGGCGAATGCGCCTTGGGCGATTTGTTGGTTGATGCATTAGTAGATTATGTAAGTAATGTTTCGGATTCGTAGGTAATTCGAATTGAAACTTATAAGAAATCAGTTAATTTGTCACAATGTGTAGTTAATTAGACGCATTCGCATTAATTAACAATCGCACCTATGTAAAAAAAAACTGTATTAATATGTAGCTGAGAAACTATGGACTTGGATTTCCATTCATTAAACAAAAAAGTAGTTTAAGAAATTGAAATCGATATCGACTGAATCAGTTGATGACTTGTGACAAATCTTATGGAAAGATAGAAATGCAGTATTGTTTCTTATTATTTCAGGCTAAGGCTAATATTAAAACTGACTATAATTATCTGGCGTTCATACAACGTGGTAATATCAAGTCATGTATACCAAATGGGGGTGAGTATGTTAATACTAAACTTTGACAAAATATTCTGTAATTTTTTTTTGCCGTTAAAAACATGTCCATACTTTAGAATAACATTATCACGTGTTCTAAAGAAGTTTTAAAAACATAAAATTTACTTTGACAAACACCCAGATGCGAAACAATTATCTGTGGGTCACTCAAATAGTTGTCCCGTGTGGGAATCGAACCCACGACTCCCGCCCCCAAAGGACTCTTGTTGGTGTCATATTTCATGCTACGATCTTTACATATTTTGTTTTTCAACTGATTTGTAGTTTGTCCGTGTAAAGCAAATGATAACTTTTTTATTTACCCGTATCTTACCCTTACATTTTATTAAAACTAACCCTCAGATTTTATCGAGTTATTATTTCTAAAAAAAAGTTTCATTTCTAAATAAACCTGACGTTTCGTAATATCATGGTATGTCATGTAATAACATGGTCACTGTTAACGTCGGGCTATCTATCTACAGCTAGACAATTATTAATTTTAGTTCGATCCATGCAGCAAATGCTAACAGTATCATGAAGTCTTGCATGAGTGGTACGGTGGGCTTGGATTTAGTTTTATTAATAATTTTAACCTAAGCCAACCATCTGGGTGCTTTTTTGCAAGGATTTATCAAATCTGATGTTATGATGTAATGATTCGACATTTATAAAGTATTAGCTGCTGCCCGCACCTACGTCTGCGAAGAATAGGCTGTATGCGTAACATTCAGACAGAAAGACAGATATACATAAAATATGTATATAAATTGTAGCCCTTTGTCTTATTCTGATGTAAAAGCTATATCATTGTAAAGTTTCATTAGTATTTGCGTGCATTCATTCAGTAGTATTTGCGTGAAAAAATAACAAACATCCATCCATACATACAAACTCTCCTTTATAATATTAGTAAGGATTTTGAAATTGTGACTAGATATTTGAATAATTTCTGAACCAAATCTTTTGTGGATATCAACATATGTAATACTTTAAGATCTGTCCCTTATTTAATTTATGTTTTTGAATAAACAGAACAGTACCAAACTAGGTCGAACGAAACTGTATTCTTTCATCCTAGTTCGTTTATGTATTTTGTTACGGGGGTATCATAAACCTTTTACAATCGTCTTGATTTTTTCATATTTTTATTCCATAATAAAACATTCGTTATTTAAAAATTTAAATTTTTACAACTGAACATTTATCTTTTACAGAAGTCACTAAAGGAACTATATTTGATTTGCTCCCATTTAACGATCGCATTGAGACCTTCGAACTGCAAGGGAACTACTTACGTGAAGCCCTTGAAAGAAGTGTGAGCGACGCCTGGGATACTAACCCTTTCAAAGGCCCATGGGTGCTTCAAGTTTCCGGTGAGCTTATGATGAAATATTTCACGGCGAAGTATATAAAGTATACAGCGTGTCGTTACCATCGCGACAATAAATGAACACACGTCTAACGCGACTTGCCAATAATCATAAAAAAATATTAAAGTCAAACAAAATCCATAATTAAAAAAAATATTTTTCAAACAAACTAATTAAGTTAAAAATAAACAAAGTTTTTAACATCCTTTACAGCTCGCGCCACAGCGTCGCATTACAAGCCTCTCCTTCTAACAGTATGTTTTGTCTCTTTTAAATTCATTCCACCCATTCTTGCTTTGTGACCTTTACAAATGAACTTTACGCTATAGTTACACACGTAAGGGTGTCCTAAAATTGTTTGTTTTGGAAAATTTTATAACTCGGTAAATATTGATGTTTGAAGAATGTAAATGTTTAATACAATTTTAAAAAGTTTTTCTCTATATGTGTGTTCATTTATTGTCGCGGTGGTAATGATACGCTGTATATTTACGAGGCTGTGTTTGCACATTTAACCTGAAGATAGGATGACATATAGACCCTGAAAAGGACAGATAGTAAAAATCTTACTTCTTGTTTTTGTATAATGTAACTTCTCAGGTCTGAATGTGACGTACAACATATCAATGCCCGAAGGACAGCGCATTGTGAAAGTGACCATTGGCGATGGCAGCGAGTTAAACGATGATGCATATTACCAAGTCACTGCACCAGCTTATTTGGCCGACGGCGGTGACGGTTTCTTGGTGAGAATTTTCGCCTGTTGTCAATTCGCTCTTTACGGAAAAGATCGTGATCCAATATTTAGGTTTAAAGAAGAGACTGAAGTGTGAAATTGCAATCGATATTATCATTTCCCCTTTATATAATCGTACAGCAAATTATTGTAGCTGTGTTAAAGAGTTATTCAAATTAATTTTATTGCGTTATTTAGGTAACCTGTGATGTTTGTAACGTCATTTTGTTAGTATTTTGCAAATTATTAAGTACGTATTTTAAAACGAATACTGATTACGAAGATCTATATGTAGACAAAATCTTTTGTTATTAATGTATGAATGTATTGTTTCAGATGTTTAAAGCGGGAAAGAGAAACGTAAAGGTTATTGGACGCGATGAAAAGGTGTTGGAGCTATACATAATTAAAAATTCTCCTCTAAATGTTACTACCGACGGGCGGATAGTGATTAATCAATGAATTGCTTGTTATATAAATATGTCTCACAGTAATGTTTCGTTTTACTAAGGAGTAGAGTAAGTGTTAGATAAAAAACACTTAAGGAAGTGTTGACACGTCATGAAACATTATTCTAAATATTATTTATAAATATGTAAAAAATGTTGAAAACATTTTTATTCAGCCTATACTAATAGAAAAAATATTTATCTTTAAAACTAAAAGAATTAAAAAATGCCAGACTCAATTTAAGACCAAATTTTAATATAAAATGTGTTGTCTAGCCACAGCGTTAGTTATCTGTTTTTCCTAATGGTGCCAAATTAATTGTTTATGATGTGTCACTCAAGGGTGTTAAGCTATTAAAAATAATTATTTTAATAGTATTATATTATCAATTCTTTTATCTTTATTACAATATTATTTTTTTTTAAATAGAAATACTTTAATTTCGAATTCCAGTTCACATTTATGTATTTATTTCAATCAAAAATAATTGTTTTTTCTAAACCAATTTTTATTATAAACATATAATTATACATCTAAAGTATTAGTATTGTATCAAAATAACTGCTAACGCCATCTATTGTGTTTTTGAATGCACTACTAAACTGAATGTATGATTGGAATATTTAAAATTCATTCGCTCTCTTTCACAGAACAGTGAACACGTTGTTTGATTTATATAAAGCCTAAAAAAAATAAAGCCTATAAAGCAGGATGTATAAGGATTTGATCCAGGATGCCACATATCAAAAGGGTATGGAAAGCCTTTATGCTTCTATATTCCTGAGGCGTCACCTCAGAGCTTCAATCAGAAATAACCAAGCAGAGTCGCCTGCCGTTCTCTTAGTCGAAAGTGATACATAGACTATGCTATACAAGAATACGGAATGTCTGTAATCAGTAATAATTAATAAAAAATAACACTGGATAAATAAGAAACGTAAGGTATTAAAATTATATTCTGATCTTAAAAGATAATACAAACATAAGCACATAAACAGTAATAATATAAATAGATTCATAAGCAAAAACGAAGGAGCGAAACAAAAGGCTATCTTAACGCCATCTACCCGTAAAAATACGAACCCAAAATAAAATACAGATTTTCTATAGATTTCTTCTACCAAAATTGTATTGTCATCAACGGATGTTATCAGGGATATTAGTTGACCGCCAATCGAAGTCACTTCAATGTCGATACGTAAGGGTATCAGGTATTAATAATTTATCACAAGAGACAGCTGTAAATATTTTTTTATGAATATAAAATATTAACCATGCCTTCGAGAATGCTGTGTTTGATTAAATAACATGTCTCTATTTCTCAAACTCGGTTGCGTGAAGTAGAAGTGACATGTACAAACTATATTTACTCAAAACTAACAGCACTTATGAACAAGAGTATACTTTGCACGCCACCAAAATATATAATAGGCTCTCGAACGAAATAAAGGAATTAAACACAAATGTTGACATCAAAATATTATTACGGTATAAACAAATTTCATTCAAACAAATATTGAATTTTATTCTTTGTCCAAAATTTGATGAGTTAATGTTATATTTTATCAAACATTTTTTCTTTTTGTAATAAATTATTTGACTACTTGTTCTGTTCTGTTCTTATCTACACTTACATAGACATTACTTCTATTTTATTTTAACTGTATGGTATTTTATATTCTATTACGATTATTATATTTACGAACGTATTATATGTGCAAAAAGGGTGAAATATAGTGATGTGAATTACTTTACCACAGGCCAAACTAAATACTTTGGCAAATAAATTATTATTATTATTATTATGTGTTTCATCAGGGTCAGGTGTAAACTGGTGATGTTAACTCGGGCTTTAACCGAGTGTTAATCTAAATTTGGTTGGTTGGTGAATAATTTTGGCGATGAAATAAATATTAGAAAGATGCAGCACGTGTATAGCCCCTTTTTTATAGTTTTGTATTTATGTTTAGGTAGGCCTAGGAATTTCAGAGAGTAATGAAAGGCTTTAGGTATAATGTTCGAAGTGGATATGATCATAGGTACAATGGAAGAAACTGTTCTATTTTCAGACTTTTCTTATTTCTTCCTGTAATTTGGTGAATTGGTTTTAGCTTGTCTATAATGGTTGATTGTATGTTGTTTGTGTTCAGGACAGCTATGTCAATAGGCGGTTGTTATAGATGTTGTGATCACTAAAAATGGCGGGGTGAAAGTACAGTTTGTGAGTTGGGCTCTCGAGCACTTATTATTTTATTATAGTGGAAATTATTGGGTATCACTCTCATAGTTTAGAGAACCATTGGTATTATGTAAACCTTATTAGGGTTCCTAATGACCCTATGAATAAGAGTCCGCTCTCTCTGTGTCTTTGTATGTCTGTCCGTCCTTCTATCACCAGGCTGTATCTCATAAGCTGTGATAGTTAGAAATTTTCACAAATGATGTATTTCTGCTGCCGCTATAACAAATACTAAAAAACAGAATAAAAAAATGTTAAAGTGGGGCTCCCATACAATAGACATGATTCTTTTTTTGTTGTTTTTATAGATAATGGTACGGAACCCTTCGTGCGCGAGCCCAACTCGCACTTGGCTGGTTTTCTTGTTTCAGCATATTGTTTTCTGCAGGTTATGGCTGTTTGGAACTGCTATGTCTATCAAGTATGTTGTTTTATTAGTTTTGTCTTGCAATGTTATATAAACGTATATAATGCGGGGCCATAGATCCTCCATAACACTTTGCGGAGTATAGTTGTGGTTGGGTTTGTTTTTGTATGAGTTCACATTTAATTGCTAGGTTTTGATGAATGATGTTAACTCTCAGTTTGTGGCTGTGTCGACAAGCTCCTGTTATGTTTTGTATAGTCTTTGTTTGGGTATTGCGTCGACTACATTTATCACTTGTAATAATGGGATCTTTTATAATGATTTCCTGTAATTGTTTGGATTTATTATCTGACCTTGTATAGCTATCATAAAAACTTCGTTTTCTTGGATCAATCTGTTTACTTTTAACCATTTTTTGATGCTGCTCTATCGATGTGCTTATTCTAGATCATGAGGATGGCATTGATTACGCTCCTTTTCCAGTGTTTTTTTCTTTCTATACGTTTCAAATGATATCTGTTTGAGTTATAGATTTTGAGGAGTATTACTTAAGGTGATAAAAATATTGCTTTGGGAATTTGTGTGAGATTTTGCATGGAACCATTCTTCTTTAAAACTTTTGTACATCATTTGTATTTTAAGAAGCCAAGAGTGTGATATACTATTGAACGCTTTTATATAGTATATACCTATATATGTACAGTGTAGGTTTCTAGTTTTGGCAAGCGAGTGGGCGCTTCACTCGATGGTAAGAGATGATTTTTGAGTTATTTGTAAATCAATTTTATACTTTGTCGATATAAGGAATTTTTACAGACAGTTTTTAAATTGATTAGGTTCAGAAGCATGAACTCGGTAGGAGAGACAAGCTTTTGAATCTAACCCGTAAACTTACGTTACCTTCGTTAAACATACGAGTACCTTACGGAAACATTGACGGGACAGCAATTGCTAAGGTCACGGACGTCAAGGACTTAGGTGTTCGTTTTATGGCAAGATTAACGTTTCGTGATCACATAATAGGTGATGCACAAAAGCGTACAAGAACCTGGGTTTTATTCTTCGAACAGCTAAAGTTTTTACAAACATCAAAGCGATTACTGCTTTATATAATACTATAGTTAGAAGTCAACTGGAATATAATGCAATCATTCTAAATATAACCTCATGTTGGAACGAATACAAAATAAATTCTTTATTGTACATGAAACAGTATGGAGTGTATCCAATTTACCCGTTGATGTGCCCAACTTTATTTATTGTGGGAATGGTTGGATACAACACATTAAACCTTAGAAGAGATCTTCGTATGGTAGTGTACATATTTGAATTAATTAGAGGAAATATTCATAATACGGACTTATTGGGACAAATAGGCTTGTGCGTTCCGAATAATTACATTTGGCGGCAGCGCAGATCACAGTTGTTTGTGGTACCGCAAGGACGCTCCCAGTTCTTGAATGAGGCGCCTTGGACTCGTGCACTGCGCACTTTAAATATTATTGCTAGGGATATAGATTTATTCTTGGTGTTCTCTGAGTGAATTCAAAAAGGTTGCATTGTTAATTTGTAGTGGATATAGTAAATAAGTAGTTTTTTCTTTATGTTGTAGATTGCCGCACTATTGCATTAGGTTAAGTTACCTGTAATAATAGTGTTAGGTTTTGTTAATAAATAAATAAATAAATAAGTAATATAAAGAAATCGTAAGTTTACCGGTAGATTATGGCAATTGTCTGTTATTTAAATTAACAGAATAATTTGGCTGTTAAACCAAATTGATTAATTATTCATACTTCCACAGCAAACCGGTTGCTTTTTAATTGGCGATAACTAATTATATAGATAATTAGTTATTTTATATCTTACATTTACCAATATCATTAAAAAACTCGTATAAAGGTTCAGACTTCATTTTTACATACATATTTATATAATTTAGTACTTATTATAAAACAAAGTCATCCCGCTGTCTGTGTGTCCCTATATATGCTTAGATCTTTAAAACTAAGCAACGACCTTGATACGGTTTTTTTACTAGATGACTAGAGCATTTGATTACGTAGAACATAATTTGTTATTAAGTTAAATATGGTATAAGTGGCTTTGCGTGGGATTAAAACTTATTTTATAGCTTATTTTTAATAGATGTTACACATCAAAGTTGATCGGAATAACGAACAGCATGTATATTCTTCTAATTTTGTGTCGAATCAAAAAGGAGTTCCACAGGGAAGTGTACTTGGCCCATTGCTATTTTCCTTTATATTAATCATTTACCATCTGCTGTTGATCACCAATGCATTCTATATGCTGATGATATTTCGAGACGTGTAACAGAAAAAACTGAGTTATCAGAATATGAAAAACTTGTTAAAATGCTGTAGAATCCGTTGTACATTGGTCATAAGGTAATATTTATTTAAAACAAAATATATATCCTTTGGTACTAATGTGTACACACGAACACCTTTAATTAAAGTTATCAATAATGATCAACTAATAGAAAAAGTTCAGTACTAGATCAACATTGTTGTTGGAAGAATCACATAGATATTATATGCAGAAAATTAAAGTATAAGAAGACTTAGCAGTTTCTATAAGTAACGAAACAGCGATTGCCTACCATGATTACGTGGTATCTGTATTGAGGTATGGATTTTTGTTGTGGGGAAACTCGGTGGCCGTCAAAAATGCATTCTTAGTGCGAAAAAAAAAATATTAGAGCAGTATGTTGGTGTGGAATTTTTTCTATGTGAAAAGTTGGCAAGCGAGCAGGCGGTTCACCTGATGTTAATTGAATATCACCGTCTATAGACATCTACTACACCCGACTGACCCTCACTGACCAGACGAAGTGTGAAAGTACTATACTTCCACTTCACGCCGGTCTACTGTAAGGTCGTGTTCGTGGCCGGACAACCCTACCCATTCGTGCAACAAATTGCTGCTGCGTGGCCCTACCACAGTTAAAAACCTAGACATACAATATTTACCTCTAGACTCATGTAGACCTTTATTCAAAAAATTAAATATCAGTACATTGTGTTGCTTATATATAAACGAAATCGGTACATTTGTAAGAAAACCTCACCTATTTGAAATTACTCATGTGTAAAACAAATGAGTGATATAATATGTTCTCTTTTTTTAAAATAACTTTGGATCTGCTATATTTGTAATGGGACATTAGTTATGTTATTCTTATTTATTATTATACTAATTACACAAAATAACAAATTCTTTTCTCAATTATTGTAATTATGATTGTACTGAATTATGACATTATATTCTGTTTTTTACTTAAGTTTTTCATATTTTTTGATAAATTTTTATTGTTTAAAACTTCAACAATTTTGTTTCATTTTGTTTTAATTTACTGCAATTAATAGCATTTGTACTTGAAATATTTACGTGCTAATGAGTCGAAATATGTCTGTACTTTTTATCTATACCGGAAATCTTTATCTACCATGTTTCTGCAAATAAAGATGATTTGATTTGATTGAGATAGAATGATTCAAGAGGCATGTTTACATGCATAATCCGTTGCGGGGTTACTTATTACTCGTAGTTTATTAAACTGACAATTGGCATACAATAAATGTTTAAAAATAGTTTCGATATCCCCTTTTTTCTGTTTGTCGATCAAAATTCTGGTAATTAAACCTTATCTGTATAGAGAAATGATAAATCAAAATTTTACTTCCACGTTACTCATTAGCTTGAAAATTGCAATGAAGTTTTAATTTATATGTAATTTAAAAATCAATTAATGTTAAATTTGTAGTCTTAGGTAGATTTTTTTAAGCGATGATTAGGTGCGCTTCAATTCACCTTAATTCCATTAAAATTAATATCTACATAAGTGTTTTGACAACTGCTCTAAGTAGTCGCGTATACCTCAAGTTTATTAATTTATTTTTATTTTGTTTGAAAATGCTTATCCTCCGAGCTGTTAAATTAATTAGTATTATGGTGATAATGGATGTAAAGTTTGTGAAAAACTTTGTCGTGCCCTCTGAAGGCCTTTATAAATTGGATATAATTCATTTTAACGACTTTCATGCGAGGTTTGTACATTTCAATATATTTATTTTATTTTATTTGTCGTGTTAATGCATAGTAATGCACAAATATAAACTGACTGATCATTTGTGAGAGTGATATTGAAACAGTAATAGATTTATGTACACAGAGAATTATGACAGGAATGTAAATACATGAAAGAATTTGTATATTGAGTTTTCTCATAACCAAAATCAGAAAATAAAAAAATATTATACTATTTATTACACATGAATTATTCAGGTTCGAAGAGACGACCACAGTTACTCCAACGTGTCGGTTTAACAACGGCTCCTGTTTGGGTGGATTCCCACGATTGTACAAAGCAATTGAAGATCTTAAGTGCAAGAAGCCGGAAGCAATTCTGCTTAACGCTGGGGATAGCTTTCAAGGCACATATTGGTATACCCTTCTGAAGTGGAATGTCACCCAGGAATTTATGAATTTACTACCACACGATGCTCACGTGGGTTGTTTTGTTCTACTCACAGTTTTTAATTTGTACAAAGAAACATCTTGCAAATAAATTAGTGGGAATCATTGTTCATATTTATGCAATTTGAGGATTAATTTAAGGTTTGCTAAAAGCAAATACAACTGGCGCACACTGTTAAAATTTTAACTTTTAAACGTACTAATTTCCAGTTGATAAAAACTATTTTAGTTTCATCGGGATTTATTTAGATTTTTTATTGCTGACGTTTCGAACATATTGCAGAGTTCTGGTGACGGGAAGGACTGGGTTGTTTTACGTTCTAATGTCAGACTAACCCTGGTTAACCCTGGTTATCGTCAAATAACTCTAAGCGCCGGGAATTCAAAGTCACAATTAAATGCGGAAAAAATTATGAATTAAAGTTATATTTAACCATGTGTAACATATTTGCGTGAATACAAGTAATCATTACCATAATTTCTTCTTCGTTTTATAGACAATTGGTAATCACGATTTTGATGATGGACCACTGGGTTTGGCCCCTTACCTCTCGTCTCTCAAGGCACCTGTTGTGGCGGCTAACATGAAATCCAACAAGGAGCCATTATTGCAGAAACTCTATGACCCATACGTAATCCTGGAACGCGGTGCAAGAAAGATAGGAATAATTGGACTAATTACCCCTGATACTAAAGTAAGTCTGTTTTGGGACAATTCATTACTCATGTGTAAACTACATTCTAAAAACGATACAAAGTACTAAAAAACAAAAATAAACGATGTCTTTTTTATTGAGCTAGGTTTGATAATGTTATCACGACACCAAGACATGCACATGTCTAATATGTAAAACGTGTAAAATATTATCGTACTGTGGTATATCCGTATGTACATTATTTTTTTAATTATTTCTACAGACATTATCCTTCACGGGAAACGTAGAGTTCACTGACCCTCACGAGGCTACAATACATGAAGCACAAAAGTTAACGAAGTTGGGAGTGGACATTATAGTTCTACTATCTCATTGCGGTTATGATGTGGATGTGTAAGTACATTTTTGTCATCATCATTGTAATGTTAAACTAAACAAACATCCGGTATCAGACGAGGAATCTTTCGGGACTGTACCACGGCGTCATAAATGACCAGAGGAAATTAGGACTTTTTTCTTTTTTATGAGTTGACAATGAATTTGCTTTTGCTGATGTCACTTACCAACCGACAAGCTGCTAAAAAGCATGTATCTCTTTATAAAAATCTTCTTGTTTTGTTAATTCTCAAACTTGCATAGAAAGGATTTTCAAATCTTAGCAAAGCAGATTTGTGTATCTCACGTATCTTTACTTGAAAATGATCTAGTAAAAAAAGGAAAACAGGGTCGTTGTGTTGCTAAACATTCTTTAAATTAGACATCAGTTGAATTTGAAAAAAAAATTGTAGATTCAAAACATCAGTTTCATTTGGAAATTTAAATTGTTTATAGTGATAATCTTTGCACTTAAGATTGAACATTAAAATATGTAGAAAAAGTGCGCAAAGATTGTCGCCGCTGTGGGATTCGAACCCACGTCTTCGGCATTCGCGGCCTGACGCTCTAGCCACTGAGCTAAACGTTTGATTGCCACACCGACGAAAATCTTAACGCATTTTTCTTCATTGTTTTGTTAGCATTTGAAGCACATCGATAGCATTCGATTCCCACAGCGGCGACAATCTTTTCGCACTTTTTCTACATATTTTAATCAGTTTCATTTGTTTTGTAATTCACAACTTTTATGTTTAGTAAAACATTTTATACATTATAGCGATACCTATAAAAGGTATTATATTTGCGACTGATGGTCGACCACAAACTCATCGCTTGTTATTGTCAGACTTACAAGGTTAGCAGATGTGAATACTTGAATGGCACAAATGTAATGGACAATTTCCAGTGTAACTTGTTCGTTCATCACGTATACTATTGAGACAAATATAATCATGACAAATATATGCACAACGTTGTAAACGTTGTTATTAGAGCAATATATTACGGAAATGGTCGATACGATAACACTGTGTCCAACATTTCTCCACAGCGCACTGGCCCGTGAACATGGTCAATATGTTGACGTGATTGTCGGTGGCCATTCTCATAGGGACGAATCATTCGTTAAACCGTATCTTACGATTATTAAGCCTGACGCTGACAAGAAGAAACAGGTATGCAAGTTTAAAAAACATTATTTTAAGCAAATGCTAAATAACTCGGGCTGCCCATCGACATCCGCAGTAGTTATTTACTGGGTACCTAACGGAAACCTTTAACGGTCGCGTCGGGATCTTATTTAAAGTAGATTCGTTTTGAGGCTATGTTCTATGATCATGGGACAGACTATTACAGGATTAAACCAACTTACAAGTGAAGTTAATTATACGAAATTCTTGTCTGAGATGGTTTTACGAGTAGTAGGCTCCATGAGCCAGTACCAAATCACTATCTTTCAAAGCTCTGAAAAAAAAAAAAAATTTTAAACTACTCTCTGCCTTAACCGTAACACTGCGTGTGATTTTCAGTGCTTTATAATTCTCACCTTTATTTTTATAATGTTTTAGCTTATGTATAATGAATGTATAATATCTCCACCAATTTCGTAGGTTGTCGTGGTTCAGGCTTTTGCCTTTACGAAAATTTTAGGCAATCTTTCGGTGTTCTTCGATGTTAATGGGAACGTCGTGGAATGGGAAGGAGCACCAATTACTCTGGACAAATCTATACCTGAAGGTATTTTGCTTCTCCAATGTTTTCTGTAATTGTTTCTAACTTATTATTGGAACGAAGTTCCTTATCGCGCGCTATGAAAGGGGGCTAGACGGAAAAAATTCTCACGAAAAGTTGTCACGACACTTTTTGCTATAGTAAGCTATTGTAAGCTGTGCGGCGTGCGCATGTTTCTCTGTCTGTCTCTCTTTCTCGCTCTTATAGAAAGCAAGCCAGATATTTTCATTTCTATTTCGCATTGAACAGTGTGGTGTCGCGACGATTACTTTTGTTGAGTGTATACAGGTTTTTTGTACATAATAAAGTAATAATTTTTCCTCTAGTTATCGTCCCATCAGCCTCCTCAGTTGCCTGGGGAAGCACTACGAGCGGCTTTTATTAAACAGGCTCAATGAGCACGTGTTTTCCAACGGCCTTCTGCCGGCGGAACAATTCGGCTTTCGAGCTAGATATTCCTGTCCCGATCAACTATTCCGCCTAACGGAACATATCCTAAAGGAAATAACAACATCCGCCTAACGGAACATATCCTAAAGGAATAATAAATCTTTTCTTCGATGTCGCAAAAGCATTCTTGTCTTGTATCTTGTATTAACTGATGTTTTTGCTTTCAGTCCCGAGACTATTAAAGCTTCATCGGACGCAGAACCGGTGGGCTAGCCAGAACCCACGGGTTTGGACCCTCCGCTATGGGTAGGGTCGAGCATGTGCTCATGCGTGCGTTTAATTATGGTGTGTCATCTAAGGGCCGTCGAGGTCGCGGTTCGGACCGAGACCCCGACGGCCGTCGACTGTGCATTTAGCTAATCGGTGGCTGGGAGCGGTGAAAACCGCCCCGGAACGCGGGTGTACCTTGTGTACGCGTTGTGTGGGTCTCGCCGTGCTCGGAGGCGAGGGCGAACTGGTGTGATTGTTGTTACACTAACTGTGGGTGTAGTGTTATCCGGCGGGACCCCCGGCGGTGGGTCCATCGTATCTAAGTCCTTTTCGTCGACCGGGTCGATGAGGACGTTTCGCGGGCGACGCTTGTTTACGTTCGCGTTAGTGTCCGGTTGGTAGTTTGCTGCGCTTACCACCAGAGGGTTGGGATGATGTTCGGCTCTATCGAAGAACCGTTTTGTCAAATCTTTAAAATGTGCGCGAATCGTCGGGAGTCTGCAATCGCTGTGCAGGTCGACGTTGCGCTGATACCACGGCGCACCGGTTGCGCGGCGGATAAACTTATTTTGTACTATTTGCAACTTGTACAAGCGAGTAGGGTGCGTGTGGGCGAAGATCATACATGCGTAGGACATGATAGGTCGTACGCAGGTCTTATATAATAATAATTTGTGCCTTAAGGGCATTTTACTTTTAGCATTAGTTAAATTGTGTAGCCGGCCGGAGACGAACGCGGCTCTATTACGAACGTTATTAATGTGCGTAGTAAATGACATACGCGAGTTGAAAGTGACTCCTAAGTATTTGACCTTTTTCTCCCAGGGGAGCGGTTGGCCATAAAGGGATATTTGCCCCAACTTTCTGCATTGGCGAGGGCCATTATAAAGATGTGACGGGTAGGTACTTCGTGTGAAGTGAATCGCCACACTCTTTTCGGGATTTATTTCTATTCTCCATTTGCCGAACCAATCGCCGAGGCGGTCGGCGGCGCTTTGGAGTCGAGTGGTTAGTATTCTAAGGTTGCGGTCTGAATAAAAGAGCGCGGTGTCATCCGCGAAAAGCGCGAGATTGACGTGGGGGTCTTTGGGTATGTCGCTCGTGTAGAGCGTAAAGAGCAAAGGTGAGAGGCAGGAGCCTTGTGGTACGCCGGCCGTGAGGCGGCGGCTTGTGGAGAGGGTGCCCTCGACCTGCGTACGACCTATTATGTCTTACGCATGCATGACCTTCGCCCACACGCACCCTACTCGCTTGTACAAGTTGCAAATAGTACAAAATAAGTTCAGCCGCCGCGCAACCGGTGCGCAGTGGTATCAACGTAACGTCGACCTGCACAGCGATTGCAGACTCCCGACGATTCGCGAATATTTTAAAGACCTGACCAAACAGTTCTTCGATAGAGCCGAACATCATCCCAAGCCTCTGGTGGTAAGCGCAGCAAATTACCAACCCGACACAAACGCGAACGTCAACGTGCGTCGCCCGAGAAACGTCATAATCGACCCGGTCGAGGAAGGGGACTTAGATACGCCGGACCCACCGCCAGGGGTCCCGCCGGACAACACTACACCCTCAGTTAGTGCAACAATCGTCGCCCTCGCCTCCGAGCACGGCGAGACCAACACAACGCGTACACAAGGTACACCCGCGTTCCGGGGCGGTTCTCACCGCCCCCAGCCACCGATTAGCTAATTGCACAGTCGACGGCCATCGGGGTTTCGGTGCGAACCGCGACCTCGATGGCCCTTAGATGACACACCATAGTTAAACGCACGCATGAGCACATGCGTGGCCCTACCCACAGCGGAGGGCCCAAACCCATGGGTTCTGGCTAGCCCACCGGTTCTGCGTCAGATGAAGCTTTAATAGTCTCGGGACTGAAAGCAAAAACATCAGTTAATACAAGAATACAAGACAAGTAATAATTTATTTAAAGTAAAAATTTTTTTATCAGGTTAATAAAGTTAATTATTACTAAAATTGAGCCTACTGATTAAGTTTATATTACATTATATTTGTTGATAATAAAAAAAATATTATTATAACTTAAAAAAAAAATATTACAATTCCTTCACTAATTAATCGAAAGGAACTTCGTTCCATCCGGGTGTCCCTTGACACCTCTCTTTTTTATATATTGATTTGTGAAATATTCCAATGTAAAATGATATTTGATGTCACATACTCAGTCGAAAACGTTTTTTTGAAAGAAACTGGTGATTTTGTAATAAGCGGAACCAACACCATTCGGCACCAATTTAGCTGGTGTGTCATTAACCTCAGAAAGTGTGCACCTTTGTTTACATTGCCCATGATCCAAAGGCGAACATTTAAATTGTTACTTAATATTTATGCTTTTATGTGGAGCCATGGTACTTTCCGGTCAAGCGGTCTACTCGTGCAGAATGAGATGCTAAGAAAGCTGTTGTCTTGCTACCTTTTTTATGTCAGAAAGTGGCAAACGAGCTGTTCACCCGATATTAAGTGATAGCCGCCGCCCATGGACATTTACAACACCTGTAGGGTTGTAGATGCGTTGCCACCTTTTACAAAAAAGGGGCCCCGGCTACCGCACTCCCCACACGAAACGCAGAAGTGTAACAATTCTACTTCACGCCGATCTTCTGTGAGTTTTTTTTTTATGTGAAAAGTTGCCAAACAAGCAGACGGTTCATCTGATGTTTAGTGAACAACAGCGAACACTCTTGCGTGGCCCTACCACTGTTTTCCTACCTGTGTCTTATCACACGGTTTTCACAATGTAAGTTCTTTGACTCAGGTCAGTCCAATTGGTAGCAATTGCACCTATCTGACTGAGAAGTGCGTTTGAAAAATAATTACAAAAAATATTTTTCAAACAAACTAATTAAGTAAAAAAGAAACTAAATTTGTAACATCCTATACAACTGCAACTGACTGATTCATACATTCCGAGACTTTTCCATTCAATTCGTTGCCACAGTGTCGCATTACAAGCCTCTCCTTCTAATAGTATATTTATCTCTTTTAAATTCATTCAACCCATTCAGATGCTTTGTGACCTTTACAAATGAACTTTACGTTACGGAACTTACGTAAGGGTGTTCTAAAATTCTTCGTTTTGGAAAGTTTAATAACTCTGTAAATATTGATGTTTCAAGAACGTAAATGTTTAATACAATTTTAAAAAGTTATCCTCTATATGTGTGTTCATTTATTGTCGCGATTGTAAAGACACGCTGTATACTAAACAGTAAAGTTTATATCTATCTAATACCTTTAAACGAGCAATTTTGTATATATATATATATATATATATATATATATATATATATATATATATATATTGTAGCACTATAATACTATAATCGTTTTAGGATTCCGTATCCAAAGAGTAAAACGGGACCCTATTACTAAGAATCCGCTCTCTGTCTGTCTGTCTTTATGTCTGTATGTCAGTCTGTCTGGCTGGCACCATGCTATATTTCATGAACTGTGATAATTAGACAGTTGAAATTTTACATCTAATATTTGTCATTCAATGGTCGCAGCACTACTTGATAGCAAACTATTAAACAATAATATAGAGTTACTATTAGTAATAAATGCCGAATGACGAAAGTATTTTAGTACTATATAAGTATTACGTATATATATATATATAAATTTAGGTTACTTATTTGATATCATCATTTATTTAACTTGTTACTTATTAATAATAGTTTATACATCTGTGAATTTATGAACTCGTTGATTGTTGAGAATTGGGTCAAATTAGGTCTATCATCTAAGACTTAATAGCATCAACTTCTTTTATTAATGCCTTTATTGACCAAAATCAGAATTGTTTTAATTTTGATTTAATTAAGAAGTGTACATTATTAGCATTTATCGACCTTTGTACTGTAAAATGCTTCGAAAGATATAAATCTAAATGAAAGTACATTTTTTCAAAAAAGATCAATGATAAACATGACTACGCAGTTTATGTAGGTCTAAAAAAGTGACACTTCATTCTATAACGAACTCTTTGTTATAATATCTCATTGAACAATTACAGTTAGGTCGTAATTATTCTGAATTGATCACAGACGGGGCGATTAAGGAGAAATTAGCACCGTACGCAGATTTAGTCCATAAAGCTGAAAATATGCCCGTTGGTGAAATAAAATCTACCCTCGATTATCGTGACTGCGCACGCGGAGAGTGCAAGCTGGGAAATCTGCTGACCGACGCTCTTAATCATTGGGTAGGTTGATTTTTAGTCTATCTATCTGAATGTTAACTACATTGTTACAATCTAATATGTTAGCTACATTGAAACCAGAAATTTGGTAATGTTCTTAATTAGGCAATAAATTATCCACCTTACCCTTTTCGGGTTTTATCATAGTAGATTCAAAGCTATTTTTAATTGTAGTATCTATAATTTTATAATTTTCATTTCTTGCATCTTATTTCTTGGAATAAATTTTCTTTTCTTTCTCCTGCCCTCTCACTTTGATGGGGTACTTGTGCCCTGTGCAAATCGAAATTACGATCGCCGGAGCCGGCGCCTAAGCCATTGTAAGTTTAGCACCTACGCCATTTTGATATCACCGAAACGCAGAAGTATAAGTGGAACTTTATGACGGTCTTCTGTGAGGTCGTGGTACTTCTGCCGTGGTACCCAGATCCGCCCATTCATCCAACAGCAAAGACTGCGGCATGGCCCCATCATGTCTTTACCAATTTTTAACGGAATTTATAAACATAATATTAGCTCCCCACACATACCTTACTGCTCGATAACCCGACCCCACTGCGGATTGGCACTGCACATAATGCTTCATGTTTATTAAATATTCGGGACTAATGTAATTTGCTGTACTACAATGGTCAATTGGTTGTAAAAATTGGAACTTACCGATGAAATTGTGTTTAGTGCCTTGGCCGGGATTTGAACTCAGGTGCTACAGTATAGTAGACTCAGCTTTTATAATTTCTAAGTATAACAACTAATTGTATTTTCTCAAAAATCCCAAAACAAATATATTTTTGTAGTCCTTTTTTTAAATTATAATACATTTACACTTGCTTGTTATTTTTATAAGGCGCTTTTGGAACTTGTTTTGTCGTTTTTGTCAGTTTAAATAAAATATCTCGACCCTAAGAGAGTTTACACTGTAATTAATGTTATTTTGCCGTTTCTTTTCGCTATAAACCAGTCATGCCAGTGAGCGATATTTACACGTAAGATATCTTTTGATATTGGTGCACAGAACTGGAATTCATAACCGCTTTTGTAGGGTCCAATGACCCTATCCTATCACCTAACTAATTGCGCAAACTGCATTTATTGGAACGAAGTTCCTTACGGCAGGCTTGGAGGGGATAGGGATTTTGCTGCGCGACCGAACTGAAAAAAATGTGATAGTAAAACCGTAAGAAAAAATCCGTGGAAAAAAGTGCGTGGAATAAAACCGTTAAATGAGACGTGCGCAGGCGCGACAGTCGCATACACAAGCGAGTAGTGTATAATACCTTTCTCTTTCTCCCTCTTTCTTTTCGTTCTCTCATCCCTTCTCTTTCTATTTTAAGTAATTTATTATTTCCTAAAATACTGAATTTTCTAAATACTTTCTTGTACTTAAATAAAAACTAATCAGCAAAATTTAAGAGAAAAATCAAGAAAACCTACATAAAATTGAGCACGATTTTTTTTGCAATTTGTGTCGATTCTACATTAGCCGAAGGAACTTCGTTCCTACCTGGTGTCCCACGACACCACATCATTTTTTATAAATGTAATTTAATTATTGTACAGTAATTAAGTTCTCTTACGCTAGTGTTAATTTTAATCAATGCTTTGTTTCAGACAAGACAAATAATTAAGAGCAAATACGACTGCATTTCGTTTGTTCAGCGCAGTAATATCAACGCTATCTTGCCCCAAGGACGTAAGTTTCGTTAAAACTCCAATTTCGACGTGATAAATTGAATAAATACAACAAAAGTAATATTCAACAAATGTATATCTACGACATATGTAAAATAAGAAACATATTTATAAAAACAACATCATCATCATCATTTCAGCGTGTTAGAGTCAACTGCTAAACCTGCATAGGCCTAGGCCTGAACCAAAAAGCATACAAAGATTTAATTTCAAAACAGTTTTCCTACTTTTAGGAAGAAAGAACAATAAAACGGCTTGAAAGTTTACCGTATCGAACTTTCGTTTTGGATAATGTTGGACATAAATGTCGGAATAAATTTTAAAATGACAGCATTTTTGCTATTATGTGTATGGTTGGGTAGGATCGGGAGAGTAAGAGGTTTCTTAGAACACCCGGGGCGTAAAATATAAGTATGTATGGGTTTGAATTTTGTCTCAAGATTTGCGTAATCACTTAAGCCCGGTTAATGTATTCAACGAACGGCCGTTAGTTAGATAGCTTCGTAACTTTCACAACGACTTGTAGATTAAAGGAGCGCTAGTAACTCACTTTCCGTAGGTAATGTAACAGCTCGTAGGGCAAAGGCCTCGTTTTGTTAATTTAGGAACTGGGCGTACACGCCTTTTATCTACGAGTCGTTATAAAAGTTACGAAGCTATCTAACTAACGGCCGTTCGTTGCAATATAGGAACCGGGCATTAATTCTTTTCTTCTCGATAGTTACCTTCAATTGTAAAAAAACAGGGATGGGTTAGTTTTTTATGTATTGAATACTATAATCAAATTTGTTTTAAAACTAACCAATGAATTTCTTACAGCAATAACCAAAGGTTCGTTAATAGATCTATTCCCTTACTACGATTTTGTAGAGACATTCGAGATGAAAGGAAAACATATTTTAAAGATATTAGAAAGAAGTGTAACAGATCTGTCTTCGCTCGATCCTGTGGAAGGCCCTTGGATATTACAAGTTTCCGGTGAGTTATTAAGTAAACATAAGTCTTGCGTGATTACTTACTATCATGCCGATAAGATTTTTATTGATTTTAATATCTTAATTTTTTCTTATTACGGAAAAATATTTCCGATATACTGTTTAATTACCTCCGTTGAAGTAGTTTATTGGCCGTTTCTTTTTGAATGCCGCCCGCGATGACCGCTCTATGCAGCCGCTGCCCTTAGCTTTTCGTTAGTTTCAGTTTGACTGTGACCTAATTAAGGTCGCACGTGCTATTTTTAGATTTGTCTATCTCTAAAGATGTAAGAACAACAAAGCAGTTATTAACCGCGAGTATTACGAGTTGGTTCGGTGCTACTTTAGGTGGTGAAAGTTTACGTGGTGCGCAGACTTTATGAAATTGATTCTTTACCGCGTTTAAAAGTAGTTCAAGTGTACCTAATCAAAGGACGATTTTAAAATCAACATATAATTTTTTAAATCACGCACTTTTTGAGATAAGTTCAAATGAATATAATTAATTACTAACGAGTGATTTAAAATATTTATAATTTTTTATAATTCATTATTTATGTCTAGCATTTAATAAAAAAAAATGGATACACTTAGAAAAGCCTCCCAGTATACGTTGACAAGTTTAATGCAAATACAAAGTTATGCGTGTACCAGACGCCTTTCTTAGCTTTTGCTCGCATATCCATTGTCAGCGCTTCTGATGCTTTACGTTTTATGCTCCTTTTCTATACAGATTGTTTAGTATACGTGAGTTCACTAAGTTGAAGTTAACCCGTTATTCGTTTGAAACGTAGGTTTCGAGTAGTTAAACAAAAGGGAAAACTGAGCAAAAATAAAAATTTACAAAAATAGGTGGGTCTTGTTTTCACCCTAGCCACCGAATTATGAACATTCGAGGATTAAAAGATTATATATAATATTGCGAATTAATTATAACGAAAATCAAGGATAGTCGACTTCAAGATTAGCATAGCATAAATAACATCTTTAACGTATTACAACTTAAACTTGTAACGGCGTAGTTCTGCTACAACTCAAAGTATCATTAGCTACAGAAATAATAATTAAAACTTGCATATAACACTTACCCAATTTCTGAGGTCGAACACCACAAAATAAAAATTACGTATTTAGTACAGCGGTTGAACTGTGGATATAACGGTTTTCCGGTCCAAACAAATTGCAAGGAGAAGCGATCGTAGTTGTTGTCGTTAGCATTTGTATATTCCAGAGTGATAGTAATTGAACTTCACCTCTTGCAAGTGGTCTTAGAATTTTTTGAGTACCTCCCTAATTACGTACAATTATGAGGTAAACCGCGTAAGTGAATTAGTGGTTTGATTGCTCTGTGAAAGTGGTAGGCGTTACAACGTTAACTTCCACCTGTTGTTTATGTTTTATGCTAACAATAGTTGAAGTACTTCTATTGGAGAGTATAAAGAATAAAAACCTCTCAAATTGTTGATTTTATTACCACACCCCTGCTGTATGACTAAGCTTGTTTAAACGAGAAAATTCCTGGGAATCATAGAAAATCTGCGCAAAAAGTAAAGTAACAGCCTATATGTGTCTCCACTGCTGGGCAAATGCCTTCTCAGTACAGACGGTATTAGGGCATAGTCTAAGACGCGGCTCCACTGCAGATTAGCAGACTTCACATATCTTAGAAATATTTGTTTTGGTACTATTTCGAAAATATGCATGTTTTCTTACGATGTTTTCCTTCATCGCTTGTGCATGCATGCATGCATGTGATAAGTCAGAACTTACGATTTCATTTCTGACGTCATCGGGATTTGTACTCACGAACTCTTTCGAAGTTATAGAATTAAACGCAAGCGCCCGGACATTGCTTCTATCTGCGTTGACGTATTTGTACTCACTTTGCCTTTCGTTCATCCTTGGCTACTTATGGCTAGTTCATGGAATCACTTGCTGGATAGCACAGAAGCCTCTTTGGAAATTGAACTCCTCGGTTGAAATAATTAAATAATTCCAGAATAATAATAATAATCTTTATTTGTAATCAAAAACACATCTGCACATTACAATAATAAAATAAAAATAGGTCTTATACAAACAAAATAAAATATTAAAAAGTGACAGATATATTAGGACTACAATACAAATGTTTCGTCAAATGATAATTTATTGTGAACATCACACTAGGCAAGGCCTGTATCGTGAGTTCCAACTCTACATGATTGCCAAAATCGCTCGTCGAACATTGTACATCAGATAAAATAATATTTAATAGATACGTTAGGTTAACAGTTTGTGCCAGTGTTACAACTAAATAAGTATAGATTTAGATTTTTGTGCAGTAAATCTATGCCTGTTTAATTACTTTTCTTTATTTGACGATTTTTATTATATTCTCTGTTTCATTGTAGGTAAGTTGAAGTAACAAAGCCTTTATTTTTTTCTTTGCTTTGTATATGGAGTCTTCCTTAATGTCACAGTTCTTTATGATTTTATTATATATGAAGGGTCCTAAGAATGGCGAAAATCGCTGCGCGAATCCAGAGTTTACTCTTAATACAGGTAGTAAGCCTTAAATGTTCTACTCTCTAGTAACTGCTTAAAATTATTATTATTCATTATAGTTTTGTGTTGTTTTAGAGCTAATTTTAATACAAAAGTTTACAAAACTACAAAAGTAAAAGTACAAGATTACAAAAATAACATTAAGAAATTTTGCCTCTAAATATAGGGCGTGAGTGGAGAATCTTCTATGTTTTTTGAGCAAGACTTTTAAAACTGATCTCTGAGCTCGCTCTAGCTCAATCATAGTAGAAATATTAGACCCACCCCAAGAATCAATGCAGTATGTGATTGTTGATTCACACAGCGCGGTGTACACTAATCGACATGTCTGAATGTCTGCAATATCACGTAGACGGTATATTACATGGGTCAATTTACGTACTCTGCTAGCTATTGTTGTTATGTGCGCTTTGAAGGATAGTTGGTCATCAATTAGTACACCAAGGTATCTAATAGAACGTACTCTCTCAATGTCATTGCAATTGCAAATGTCAGGTTTTGAACAGTGGGCGTGAATTTTAAGATTTATCTGTGTTTTCGGTTCGGATGCTTTATTTTTGTGAAAACAAAGAAATTTGGTCTTGCTAGCGTTTATTGTTAAGAGATTGTTATCTAACCATGTCTTTGCTTCGACTATACCCTTTTCAGCTCTTTGTACAGTTTCATGCCAGGATTTGCCATGAAATACTAACGCAGTATCATCTGCATAGCAGATAATATTCATGCAGTTGTTGATGATGCTTTGTAGATCATTCATGTATAATATAAATAATGTGGGACCTAAAACTCTTCCCTGAGGTACACCGTGAGTAACAGTTAGTTGGGTGCTAAAAGAATCACCAACTTTGATGCATTGTTTTCTGTTTGTCATATAACTACGAAACCACTCTAATGGTAGACCTTTAACGCCAAAATATTCTAGCTTTTTAAAAAGGATTGGCTGTGAAATTATGTCGAATGCCTTAGATAAATCAAGAAGGACTGCTATACAGTTTTGTTTATTATCTAAAAGTGTAGAGATTTGATTAATTAAGTAGGCAACAGCATCTTCTGTGGAATGAGCTGGTCTAAAACCGTATTGATGTTTATAAAGTTGAGTATTAATAAATTTAATAAGTTGACTATTCACTATTTTTTCAAAAATTTTCGAAAATATGGGTAATAAAGATATGGGTCTATAATTTTCGGGGCACATTTTGGATCCATTTTTATAAATTGGGACTACACAAGCTATTTTCCAGCTAGACGGGAAAGTGCCCGTGGCCAGACTGAGATTAAGGATGTGTGTTAGAGGTCTAATTATGAGTGTTTTTATATCTTTGATAATCCTTACCTGTATTCCATCGATTCCAGGAGCACTGTCATTTTTGAGCTCTGAGATAATTTTATCTACTTCATATATAGATGTAGGATGTAAGAAGGTGTGAGCGTTATGCATTTGAATGGTAGTGCGTACTAAATCAGATTCTGTTTTACGTATGTTTGTTAAAATTGTTTGTGCCAGATTACTACCAACAGTGGCAAAAAATTTAGTAGTGAGTAGTTCTTGATGATCAGATGATTGCGACTTAAGGCAGCAAATGTTTTTAATACTTTTCCATAGCTTTTTGGAATTATTTTTATTCCTAGAACGTTCTTCACTTTCATAATTTATCTTCAATCTGTGCAAAAGGTTATTGCAGAAATTTCTGTACCCTCTTATACACATGTTGTCGAACAGGGTCGTTAGGGAATTTTCTTAATTCTAAATGTAGTTTGTCACGGTGTTTCATGCATCTAATCAAACCAGGAGTAATCCATGGTTTCAATGCATACTTATTCCTACTCACACGATATACTGTCTTATGCTTGTGCATTGTAATTTCTAGGATTTTTGTAAATTCTGTAACAGCTGAATCTACATTTTGACTAGAATAGACTTTTGACCAGTCGGTTAGTTTTAGATCTTCTGAGATAGCTTCATGATCTATTTTTGTAATAAGGCGAGAGTTTTTTGTTGTTATATTTTTGGACAGTGATAATCCGAGTAGAACCATATTATGATCCGTAATGTTTGATTTACAAACTGCGCCTACTTTAAGACTTGTTCTAATTCTGATAAATATGTATATATAATATATGGTAGGTTTATTAATCACTTGTTGAAGATCAAATTCAGACATTATACAAAGATAGTCTGACACTTGTGCGTTAGAGCTATTTAAAACATTAATATTTATATCCCCCGTGAGTATTAAAGATTCACCTTTTTTGAAAGAAGATAGGATCATATGTAAGGAGTTCAAAAAACTTTCCATATTTTTGAAGGATGGTGATCGATAAATGCATATTATATTTAAATCAGCTATTTTAATGTTCAAGCACTCTGCTTCATTAATTAATGGTTCATGTACTTTAGGACTTCAGAGTGAATTAACGTATACAACTACACCCCCGTTTTTATTTATGACTTTTTTTGTAGCATAGCACGTATAGCCAGGAATTTCAAAGTAAGCAGAGTTATTAGAAAGCCAGCATTCCGTTAAAATAATTACATCAAATATTAGATCTGATCGTTTCAGTGCGACCAAAAATGAGTCAAAGTTATGTTTAATACTTCGAATATTAAAAGTTAATAATTTGAAATTATATTCACCGCTTAAAATAGTTTTACAATTCTCCAATAAATCAACTTCATTACACTCAATGCTCAAAGTACAATCGACGTCGTTTAACATGTCTAAGCTTGGGATTGCCATTTAAAAGTGTACACATTCATGTAATTATTAAGACAATTTTTATTTTTTATTTTTGAGCAATGAGTAAAATAAAATGGAGTATATTGGAGGAGCTTGTTGTATGTGGTCTTTATACTATAAAAGGTATACGTATAGGAGCGCTGTATATTATATGGACATTTCAATGTACCTATTTGACTATGTATTATTATTAATAGTCGCGAAAAACTATCGCGTGTAAATGTATGGCACCAAATGTTACTATTACTTAAAGGTATAAAAATTGTTATAAAAGAAAATCAGAGACATGAAAAAGGGCTACTAATAATAAAATTTAAAATTAAAAACAGAAAAAATTGTGTGTTACTACTACTAGTCAGAAACTTAAAAATGTAAATAACCTTACTACTTTTTGTCTCTTGTTTTGGATGTCTCGAGTTGACACAATAAGTTATCCAGATCTGCCAGAGAACGTATAGGTATAGCAGGCTTTCCTTCTTTTTGGCGTATGTAAATAACACCATTTTTTGACCAACAGAACTTGTAATTAGATTGCTTGGAGCGTAGTCTGGCTTCTCGAAATAACTGACGATTTTCCTTTGTAAGTCTCTCATTAATATAGAGCTTCTGCTCGGGTTGATCCAATACAATGTCTCTTGAAGTAATATTTCTCCGCGATTTTGCTGCTAAGATGAATTCGTCTTTTTTCTGCTTTCGTAAAAATCGTACCACTATAGCTCGGGCAATATCAGGTTTATTTATGTTTCGAGAGCCACCTCGCATAGTAAAGTCTAGTTCAGAGTTCACAAGATCGACACCTATCTTTTTTCCGACTAACATAATTAAATGTTGTATACTTTCGTTTTTAGTTTCAGGCAGTCCCACAACTTCAACTTCGTTTCTGAGCATTGATTGAGCCTGATTGTTCACTTGTTCCTGAAGCAAAAGAACCTTTGATTTAAGTTCTTG